AGGAGGATTGTGCGAAAAAAATGTTAAGTGCAACAAAACTTGGTAATCTACTTCATCCTTTGAAATTTATGTCAAAAGAGCGAGAACTTTGTACGTTGATCTTGTTTTTTGAAAGCACAAAGAATTGTCCTGTAAAATCTCGCGTTAAGTATTTTAGAGTATCCAAGAGAGTGTTTTTGGTGAAAACTTTAAGGCTAGTCTCAGCCCTCACCCAGAATGCTGAGAAAATCTTCTAGGATGTAAAGAAAATATCGGAAGGGAAAGTTCCTAACGTCAAAACCACTCAGAGCAAAACAAAACCACTCAAAGCAAAACAAAACCACTCAAAACCACTCAAAGCAAAACAAAACAAAAATTAGCTTTTAAAAACTGTTATGATAACTTTAGCATTCGACATTAAGCGGCGAGACAGATACCTGTTAGAGTGACTAGAGGTTTTGTAATTTTCCTTGTGTTTTATGTAAGTCAATAGTTGGCAATATCCACTTGTAACGGACCTGCTTATTCGACAGGTTAATGCAGATGATATCCCAGCCAGATTTCATTGTGGTTTATCCAATACATCATTATGATTGCGACGAAGAAAATTGCAAAACTAAAAACCGTTTTCTTCCAAAGAACAGAGGATATTCATACAAACCAAGTCACCGTTTAAACGGAAAGACTCTTTTTTTGAGAGAAAAACTTATCAACCTATATAACCCTCGATCTCAGTCTTGTTGGCACTGGTTCAGGTTTCATGTGACAAAAGAGGTCTCTTTCTCGTCTTAAGACTTTGCTTAACCTGCACAGCTGCTGTAGAAACTATATTACTGAGTTCTTTCCACTCCCACGCCCATCTCATTTCACGACAAATAAACGTTGTGTCCCTTAAAGATTCAAATATCGAGACCTTCTTTCATTCATTTGAAACACTTATTAAAAGTAAGGAAAGGTGAACAACAGTGTAGCCGCTCTTTAAAATGAGTCACAAGCATGTGATGCTCATTTTTTTTGCCGTACTACCCTTTTCTCAAATAGTGATCGAGGTGAGAATTTTCGAAATAAAGCTGAGATTTTTAGGACAGGACTGCTGGAAAAGAAATAAAAATAATCAAAAGCACAGAGGACGAGAAAGCATCAGCAAGGAAATAATTTTGCAAGAGGAAACAGAAATTTAAGCATTATTAAAGTGTAAAATAAGTTCACTGAAGCTAAATCTCTCTTAACAATCGCTGTAAATCTGTGTGAAGGAAGAAGAAAGAGAGAAGAAAAAAGCTTTAACTCGACAAGTTTAGTTTATCTCAAGTACACTCGTGTTTGTATTGGACTGTTCATATTATGTTAAAAAATCCTTCTCTGCATCGATAATACCGACTTCTTCCTGCCTGCCTGTTCCCTCATCCGAAAAATAATTTCCACCATACTTTTAATCTTTCTAGGCATCATCTGATACATCTATCCCTAGCGTGAAAGCCATTGACAATCGCTACAGAGAAAGAGTCTCTGATGACGTAAGTAGAATTCTATATATGTTTTTTGTCATAAGCGTGTGTTGTCAATATTCGATGTGTTAGGGTTGACTCACGTTTTTAAAATTCAAACAAAAGGAATAACGGTTGGAATTAATTTTGTATCATTTTCTAAGTACAAATAGTCCTTAAGAAAAAATCCAGTTTGCAACATTTATAGAGAAATTGTTCGTCGTTTCCAATACGCAAGAACATTGCGTAAGTTTTTATTATCATTATTTTTTTTCTAAAGTGCAGATACGGTTATTGGAAACCTGGCTCTACGCCTAAGAGCAGTTTTAAAAGACCAACAACTAAACCGGGTAATTAGAAAAACTGGCTTTTTGCCCAAGGGCACTTTAGAAAAAGCTGGGAAAGTACTGTGAATCGCATAGACATTTTTGACTCGTGAATAAATTTCTTTAAAATGACGAAAGACACAAAATAGCAATTCGCTCCACTAAACTTGTAGAACTGCACGCGACCGAAATTTTCACCGAAACAAGATGCTAAAATTGAAGCTTCTTTTTCCCTGCGATGACCTAACGTACACACGATGCGCTTTTTAAACAAAGATCGGTGAACAGAACCACTCGGCCTGTCTGCCGCGGCCCTAAGTGTTGCATGGAAATGGCACCGTTACCACTCCATGCCAGTATCAGGAGAAAAAATCATTATCGAACTGATGTTCTGAGGAATTAATTTTTTTTAACAGGGTACTCTAGCATATCATAATGTTTCCGCCCAGGCGATAAACTCCAAAATCCAGGAAGCATCACGGAATGTGAGTTGTTGACTAGTGTTTCTGGGCATGAGGAGGATATTTCTACTGCTTTGCGCTTTCTTGAATATATTTATTTATCATTTTTCCCCTACAGAGTTCTTTTTCTTCTGAGAATCCTACTTCCCAACAACTCTTGCTCTTTTCGCTAATTCTCCCTGCCAGGAACTTACACCTTAACTTGACGCGTTCATGGACGTGAGCGCCACTCCTCACCCCTCCCTCTCACCCTCCCCCTCCCCTCCCNTCGGCAAGCCAAAATGACAAAATCGTTAATATCATCTTCACAGCATGATATAGATTTTAAAATTAGCCGGTAGTGTTTTAAAAACAACGAACTACTTTTCTGCAAAGTATTGAGCTAATGATCGTCATTGTAAGTATAAATCAACTGCATTGTGCGCGCCACAACCATTTCGTAGACAAGAGATCATAAATGCTATTGCCTCAGCTTTGTTTGCCTGAGAGCAACAGACTTAACCAGGTTCTGAATGCCACAAACGCTACTGTGATCCTTTTTAAATGAGATGAAAAGAAAAAAGAAGACTGCAATATTTCTTACGCCTGAACTCGTCCGGGTTGGGTTTAAAGTTTCCGGTCGAGCTTTTCAATTACGTTTAGTTACTTTTTATCAGAAGTCTCTAAGTCTTAAAATTTATGAAAAACTCAAGTTGAAATTGCAATGTTTGTCAGAAAACTGTACCGTTATAGAAAGTAAGCTGTTAGAAGAGCCTAAAAAAAAAACAGAAAAAAAAAAAAACTGATAAAATCTTTGCTTGACTTTTGAAAATTTCGTCCCTTTGATCCGTTAACTTTAACTTTTGGTTTTGGTCTAAAGAGCCGTAGTTTTGTTTTATTTTGTGACGTTTCTGTCTGAGTTGGTGTCACATAAATCACTTTCATCTGAATGTAGAGTTCCTCGTTGAAGCCTTTCTTTGCATTTAGCGACTGTTTAAACTCATGGTCAGTTTCTAAGCAGTGTACCACGTTCACCTTCTTTTATGGCAAATATAGTTCGAGTCTGTATTTGCTTAATCCCGAAGATTCAAAAAGACCTTCTCTTAGTCAGTTTAAACAAGAATAAGAACGGGAAGTTTTACGTTTACACACAGTTACTTGTATTCAAATGGGCCATACGCCAAAGATGTTCATTTCCTTACCGTTCTGGCTTACTTTGCAATTGCCAGAGTCGTAGTTTTGTTTTATTTTCCGACGCTACTGTTTGAGTTGGTGTCACATAAATCACATTCATCCGAATGTAGAGTTTCTTGTTAAAGCCTCTCTTTGTATTTAGCGGCTGTTTAAACTCGTGGTCAGTTTCTTAGCAATATACCACATTCACCCTCGTTTATGGCAAATATAGTTCGAGTATACGTTTGCCCAGGCCTGAATAAAAGACCTTCTCTTAGTCAGTTGAAACAAGAAAAAGAACGGAAGGTTTTACGTTTGCCCGCAGTTACTTGTATTGAAATGGGCCATACGCCAAAGATGTTCATTTTCCTTGTAGTTCTGGCTTACTTTGCAATCGCCATCGAGGTAAGAATTTTGGATCTACCGAAGACAATGACGTCCTTTTTTTCTAATAAAAAAAAATAGTGTCCGAGTTGATCGCTTATATTCAGTTAATAACGTACTTACATAATGCTTTGTTAAGATAAATAACTCACTCAGTCTCTTTCGAGATGTACGATTGAGCAACAAATCGGACGTTTTTTTTTGAGCGATCAAATGTAGTTTATAGAAGCAGTCGGCTTGCTTTCAACATATTGTTTCGTGGAACATTGAACATCAAGCAGATTTGGTGTTTGTTCAAATTAACAATTCCGTTATAACAATATTCCGCAGTAGTTACACGGGGTGTGCTGAAAATACCCACTGGGGTGGAAAGAAGAGAGAGAGGGAAAATCTTTCCAGCATCTGGCTCGACTTGACAAAAGCTGTTTGATTCTAATCTGGAGCTTCCTTGTTTGCAACAAGTTGAAAAGGTTCACAACAATTCCAAAGTCTTTCAGGTATCCCTTTTGTCATTTAACATGAAAATAAAGATCAAGAGAAAGAAAAAACTCAGCGTCTATCAAAAAATGCCAACATTATGACAAAAGCATAATGTGATTTTATCTCGAGGCCCGAAATGTATATAGTTAAGTATTTAGGTGTGCCTTTGCACGGGGAAAGGAGCGTTGTCAATCACAGATCTAAAGCCAATCAAATGAGGTCAGATCAAATAGCAGCGAGGTTATAGGCAAGGTCAGTTTCTCTCCTGGTCCTTCTCGCCTTCATTCCCATCGTGTTAACATCCGAACACAGATTTTCGGTAATATTCCAGCCCCCTTCCCATGCTCCGGCCTTCTCTTCAGGCTTTCGTTGCCTTTTTATACGTATTTGGCTCTTTGCCGATGTTTAACCCCACCTTTGCTCAAGAGATTGCGCGAGGTTTATTATATCAATGTTCTTGATGTCGGGTGAAATAAAAGCGTGACTATTGTGGCCACATTAGCAGTTAATATTTTTATCTCCCGTCAATCTCGTCAGCAAACTAGCGCGACTTCACGCAGAGCTTCAGTCCCGTTTTAGTAGAGACACGCGGGTTTGGTGATAAATTGCATCTCGTACATGTTTATTTTATTATTAAACCATGCACGTTAGGATCAAGCTCCTTCTCTTCGACAGTGATCTCGTAATCCTTTGCTGGTGTGTTCATTTTTCTCACAAAACTTTTGTTTGTTTTTTTGTTTGTTTTTTTAAATTTATTCAGGCAGGGACAACACTCTCCAACGTAAAAGAAACTTACAATCGCTTCAAATATAAAATCTTTGATGTCGACGTAAGTGAATCCATACTTATTTTATAATTTTGCTTTTTTATCTTCCGTTGTCAATGTATAAGTATAAATGAATATTGATGTATAAATGAATATATGAATATGTGAACATTCTTTTCTTCACAGTTTGTCATTATCGGTGGTTAATTTCTGATTTAAATGTAAATCTTTTTTGTTGTTTTCTAGAAAACTTTGATAATTGCTTTAGACAGAGCGAAGTAGCGCTGAATATCGAATCGAAAAACAATTAAAAAGCAGCCAAAAAGGGCAAGGGGAATGAATTAAATACAAAAGTCAGTTTTCGGTGATGTCCACAATCAACGTGAAAAGAGATACAAATCGCTCGCGGGAGAACAAAACATTTCTAACAAGTTCAGTTCAAAGTCTGCTTTCATTTACATGTATCCCTATTAAAAAGGATCGACTTCTACGGCGCGAATTCGGTCCCGTTTGTTATCGCAAGCAATCCAAGAATCGTTTTGGAAATATCTGAGATCTTAACTAATTAGCCATTACAGTTTTGGATTAGAACTCTTTAATCTCCACAACTGACCAACAAGAGATGATTTAAGTATGAGAGCGATCTTCGCAGTGACGAACACTCCTTAAGAAGTAGTGAAAATGAGGCCTGAAATAAATTCAGGTCTGTACGGGCTTCGAACCCGGCGCAGTGCTCTACCAACTGATCTACCAACTGAGCTACCAACTGGGAGTTAGTCATTATGTTGGTTCGTAATAAACCAGTGAGGAGATTAGTCAACGTTTGTGAATAGATGAAAGTCATATATTTGAACTGAATATATGAAAGTCATATATTGGAACTGAATATATGAAAGTCATATATTTGAACTGACTTTCATATATTCACTTCACAAACGTTAAGAGATGACTTCTCCTTACAATATGAACACAATATTTAGCAGACAAGTGATGAGAGAAAAGAAAAATATCAATTAGGGGATTATCAATGAATCCAATACCAAATTCTCCACATTAACATAATAAGGCGACAAGTAGGGAGAAATACTTAGGCTAATGATATTTTGGAAGTGAAAAGGTTAACAATGCTGTACACTTTTCTACTAATGTATCATTTTAGGCCACCTACTATGGAAATCAAGGTGGCAGAAGAAAATGCACATTTAATCCGTTGTCTCCGAAAATTTTGAATGCTATCAGGAGGAATAATTGGATTGTAGTCGCAGCTGCGCCTGGGACATACCAGGAGTCTGTTGGGTGTGGCATGTGTGTTGAGATCACTGGCACAGGAAAGGGGAGCGGGGCGAGCCCCATCAAAGGAAAACGAAAAGCTATGATCGTCGATCGATGCCCCGGATGTAGAAACAGTATGTATTAGTAAGTTTGTTTTTAATTTGCCTGTGTGTTGGATAGTCCTCATTTTATTATCCGGTACATTCACAGGATATTTAGCAACGAATCGGTTGTAAAACTTTTCAATGCAAGTAATAAATTCATTACGAAACTATGTATAAAAGGCAAATGAATAAAGGTTGTAAGTTTCTAAACAAACTGTTGTTGTAACAAGGTAAGTTTGGTTTTATCAGTTGAGTTGATAATGTAAACTAGACACCGTAAGGAGTCTCAAAGCTGACGTTTCGAGCGTTAGCCCCGCGTCAGAGCGAAAGGCGTCTTGTACCAAATTATAATCGAAGATTGAATGAAAAGTTAAGAAGAACAATTTTCATTTCCTTTTATATTTCAGAGGCGTTAGATTTCGCCGTAGCTGGCGATGGACGGTGGAAAATCCATTATCGGGCAATCGACTGCCCGACCCTCGGAGGAAGGAAGGGAAAAATTCAGTTTCGTTTCCAAGGAAGCAACCCTTATTTCATCAAGCTACAAGAAAGGAATACCAAGTGAGATTCATTCTACAATAGCGTTTCAAATTAGCGTGATAAGACTCATAAGGACGAGTTAGACACGAATTTCAATATTTTGTTCGCAGAAATTCATGAATGGCAATAAAGACTGCATTCTTTTTTTCGTGGGCGATCAGTCTCATTTTAAAATAAACCATTATTTCCGAAGTATTTTTACTATGAAAAGCGTCATTTTCGGTAGATGCTCGATCTTCTTGGATTAGTGAGGACAGCAAGTCTAATGAACGTGAATACATGTTCTTAATCAAAAGGGACTTTTCCTGTTGAAACAAAACGAAACGGAACGAAACCTAACGGAACGGAAAGGAACGAAACAGAAAGAAAAGACACGACACGACACGACACAAAGCAAAACGAAACGAATAGAAACGAAGCAAAACGAAGCAAATACGCACGATTCGAAATATCTTGACCTGAGTCCCTTTACTTCAAATAAACCATTCAAAACCACAAAGCGTCAAGTTTTCAAATTTACCCATGTTTTCGGTTTGTCTTCTGCTTAAGAATACCAACGGCTGGGATGGAGATCTTGGTAAATGGGAAGTACCACTGTATGAAGCGTGCCTCCGACAACTTTTACATCGCTACAGGAAAAACTAAAACTCCTCTGACCATACGTTTGACGGCCGTTAATGGTCAGCAAGCGACAACGAGAATTCCTGAGATTAGGAATAACTTCGACTTTACGAGTTGGGTACAGTTCAAGGGCTTCAAAAGCGGACGTGAGTAGACTTCTGACAGACAATTGCTAATCGACTGAACTAAGATAATTTACTTAGGGGCCTTACTAGAATGTACTATACAAAGAATAGTCCAAATAGACCAAGGCATGAGTTGAATTATACGATCTCGGCGTATCGATTTGCTACTGATTGCCTACAAAAGTTAAATGGCGACAGCACACAAAAAAATTTAACGTCCTCGTGAAGATTTTTCCTAGAACTTTCTGTGCGATTAAGTATTCTCAACCGAAAACCAGTTTGTTGATCATGACACGCTCAGTGACCAAGCGATTGACCTTACAAGATCTGTTTTATCTCAATCATTTATCCATCCATCCATCCGTTCATTTATTTTATTTTTATAATCGTTAAAGTGGCAATGAATTGGTAGGTAATTACTGAAAATGACGATATTGAAGGAGATCATTGAAGTTTGAAATAGATTATCAACATTATTGCTGTCTCTACTACCATTATTATTGTTATAATCATTTGATAGTCACTATAATTGTTGTTATAATAATCTTGACTATTACCCAATGATCTCATTCTAATGTTATTTTACTCTTTTGCTTGGTCGGCTGTAGCTGGGCCAAATGGCATCAAATGTTTTGGTCAAGGAAACAGACACCCCTATCCAGCAGGAGGGATGCGACGTTAGTGTACTTGTTTCCTTTTAAAGGCCGATCGTTCTTACAGTACAACCTGTGGAATGACTTTACTCTTCCTACCTAAACAGTCTGCCAGAGGGTATTTGCCTCTTGAAAGGATTTTCTTTCTTAAAAGTGTTACCAAAGTTTGATAAAATTACGGTCAGGTTTTCGTTTGAGAGATTTTCCTAACTCAGTAGTGAGTGCTTGTAAATTTATTGTTTCAATGTATAACGAGGTCTTATTTTAAAAGAGCAACTAGATTTTTAGCAGTTTACATACAACGAAAAATTCATTGATACTTGAAGTTTCCCGGCCTTATTTTCTTTTATCAGACCATACCAATAACCGATGCAGACTTATCTCACAAACTCAAATCTGTACTGATTTATTGCATTTAAATTTACAGCTGGAAAATGATGCCAGGGATCGATAATTGCCGGAGTTTGACGGTCAGCTCTTGGTCTTCCTTCGTCTTCTGGATTATCGTCTGCAAACAATGATGTTTAAAATGGATTGTTTGAGCTGTTTCTTTTGTAAACACGAGAGTCGCGAAATAAACTTCACAACTCCACGTGGAATCAAAAAATTGCTTTCGTTTACAACTTGATTCTGAGTCCAAAACGCAGTAACACTTCAGATACTGAACGCAAACTTAGTTAAAGAAAATTTAAAGTATGCTGCACCAACTAAGTGTTTTTTTTTCTACGCATTAAAATTATTTAATTCGTAATTTTGAAAATGTCACTTTATAATGACAAATTTGACTAAATATCAACAATTTGTCTTCCGAAACCGGTCGTGCACTCATGTCAGTTCGACGAAAAGGCATAATCCCTTCTCACAGCCCTAACGAAATTTCTTGGAATATATTTTGGCTAATGCATCATTTGCTCGAAGTCAAGGCCAATTATATTGACGTAAAGTCAATTCTATCGTTCAACGTTATTGTATTGCGATGAATTGATGCTTCAATTTTCATGTCTAATAGGAAAAATCTAATTGGAAAAGTGCGGAACTCAAGTTTTACGTGTAAGATGACTCGACTACTAATGATCAATAGTCTTGAAATAGTTCTTATTGTTCTGCCACTCCACAGTGTACTTTTACCGGTCAAATCAAGTATCCTAAAATAATATATCTTCCGCCTATTGATGACGTTACACTTCTAGGTTCTATTATTTTAAAGTCAATTCTATTGTTCAACGTTATTGTTTTGCGATGAATTGATGCTTCAATTTTCATGTCTAATAGGAAAGCTGCAGCACTCAAGTTTTACCTGTAAGATGACTCCAATACTAATGATGAATAGTTCTGAAATAGTTCTTATTGTCCTGCCACTCGATCTACAGTGTACTTTTACCGGTCAAATGAAGTATCCTAATATAATATATCTTCCGCTTATTGATGACGTTACACTTCTAGGTTCCATTATTTTAAAGCCTTCGGCCCGGGCCATAAACTTTGTTGTCGGCCATGCATATTTTCCAAGAAAAAGGATCCATATCAGTTTCGTTGTCTCCTGTTGCTACAGTTTCTGCTATGGCCGACTGGGAAACAGCTTTCTATGTCATCCTCAACACTGGTCCAGCGATTCTTGGCAGTTGTGCCAACCTCCTGATAATAATTTCATTCTTTGCGGTTAACACGTCAAGACAACCGACAGAGATCCCTCTTGTAAGTCTGTCGCTGGCAGATTTCCTGGTGTGTTCAGTTTACCAGCCTCTTTTGGTGCTCAGGTTCATAAATCTCAGCATAAGTCCAATTTACATGTCATCCTTTGGCTACGTTGTAATGACCGCCTCAATGACCGGTTTATTGGTTGTGAATTTCGATCGTTTTTCAGCCATTTATTTTCCTTACAAGTATATGACTTGGATGACTGAGAAAAGGACTATTTGGCTCGTGACGGTTTCGTGGGTGATATCTCTCTCCAGTGGCTTGCTAATTGTAAGCAAGTTTTCGGTTGCCTCACGTATCACCCATTCGTACATTAGCCTTATAATCGTTTTGGTTCCTCTCATGTATGGTGTCATCTATAAAGAGGCAAGAAAGCAGGCGCGACGCATCGTCAGTGATTCCCTGCCTTCTTCGCAGAGTAACCTTCCAAATCGACGTAATACGATCGACAAGGCCACCATGATGGTTGGGCTGGTGTTGGTGACAACCTTGGCGTGTTGGATGCCAGTGACTCTGATTCCACTGCTCCAATCAACCTTTAACACTGAGGAAGAATTTGAGAAGGCTTTTTGGTGGTGTCTCACGGTGGCTTGTGCCAACTCCTGCGTCAATCCATTTATCTACGTTTACATGCTCACGAAATTTCGCCGCAGTGTCGGGAAATTAATTCACTTGACCCACGAACGTACCCTTGGCAGGTTACGACCGATTTGCATCGACGAAAGGAGAAGTAACCCACGGTTACATGCTCTGGAACTTGTTCGAACCCGTACTGCTTGGCAGGTGGTGCAAGAGCTTTGAAACTTAAGCACTTTTTATTTATCAGCTCTGTCCTAATCGTGACTCTTGCCAGGAGGATGAAAACGAAGTTATTCTTCTCAAAGGACAAAGTCCGTTCGGCCAAACCAGCTGAGTCAAGATTCAGAATTATCCTGATAAGTAGAAAGCGATCGAGGAAGAAAAAGGATACCACTTGGCCTATGCCCAGTATTTTCGTATCCCTGAAACTTATTCACAGTTAATTAAAGCCGTTACCGTTCACGGAACCTATGAGGACTAAATTTTTAGTAAGTTCCGAACGTTTTATTGGAAATATCACTAAAAATCGTGAGTTTCCAGCTTAATCTCGATTAGCGCAGAAACGTCGTTTTTCGCGGAAAAAAATTGTAAAGTTGTAAAATTAGTTGATGGTCCTCTATCTATTCAAGTATCGTATGAAATTTTTTTTCTTATAAAAAAACGTGTTTTTAAATTCCTCACCACGCAATACAATACAATACAATACAATACAATACAATACAATACAATGTTCTTTATTTCGAGAGGGTAGATGCATGATTAACCCAGTAAAGAGTTTTCTAACACATGGCCCTCTAATAAACCCACTCAACCCACCCCAGGAGAGGACATCCATCACACAGTAATCTCGTTTGTGGGAAATTAACGTCTCCTACGTAGGGAAATTAACGTCTCCTACGCAGGGAACTGCGAAATGATTTTTGCGAAATTCCGGAATTTTTAGCCATATTTCTGGCAAATAGTGAAAAAGGCACAGACCAAGGGTGCTTTTCATTTATCAGTTCGGGACGATTAGGAAAAAAGTGTTGGGGCTGGTGCATGCGTAATTCGAAATCCCTCTTTAGAATACAACTTGCCTCTCGCACTCTCTTCTGTGTTTTTAATGTCAGGAAGGATGGAAATAATCACGCACCATCTTCTGCATTACTGGATACTAAAAACGTATCCGACTCACGCGACCAGTCTCTCAGAGATGGACTACTCATTGAATTTTTAAATGACATGTCTTCTCCAACAGGACCACGCGTAGAGCAGTAAGTAGTAAAAGGCCTACGCATTCGGTATCGAGACAACGTGTTGCAGCTCGAAATATGAATAAAAACTCTCGACACACAACCGGAGAAAGGAAACGAGAACATTAAATTTTGAAAGGGACAGTGAAACTGGATTGGTTGGTCGACCAAAGTTAAGGAGTGATGAGCGATATCAGCTCTAAAAAAAGAGTCAGTTCATACCCGTTTGGGGTTTTTCCTTATGCTAATTATAAAAAAAAATTCAAAGAGAAATATGACTCGCAAGGCTTACTGAGGTTTTAAAGCGCGCCAAGCTTCGGTCTAAGAGTTTTTAGCATGTATTGTACATGGTGTCAGTAATTTACTCTGGTGAACAAAATAAGCTGCTGTTGCTGAATAGCACTGTTAACTCAGTCGAAGATGTTTTCAAAATTTGTTATCAATGACAGGTGACATTCTTGATGGACGCAAGCGTTGTGCGGTTAATATTTTGTGTTGCTTGCTTCAACAGTTGTAGCGATATTAATAAGCAATACATAAAGGCGGCCTAAATCAAAAGAACTTATTGATAACGACTCTGTTTTCTCGTATTAATGAGACACTGCAAATTTTAAGTTCACTAAGAGAAGAAGCTGGGCAATGAACTTGTTTTCGTTATTTTCGATTAAAACATGGCCAGTAAACATTGAGCGAACAAACGATTCAGAAATGAGCATGTTTCAATTAAATGGCAGGTGTTAGTTTTCCACAACAAATTAAATACAACTATGAATGAAAATTTAATGATTTTTAGTCAATTTAATGGAGTTTATCTTAATTCATTTTATGGTGATGCATGGAGATTATCTTAATGTTTATTTTTTTGGGGAGATTCTGTGCACGAGATTTGTGAAGGATTGGCAAATGTTAATGGTCCATTGAAAGAGTACCGAAATCAACTGCATTAGGAATGATATTGTTGTCCAAAAAGAGAAAAAATGGAGGAGGGAGGAAAATCTATTATTTAATTTTGAAATTTTATGATTGAAATTTTATGATTCCTCTTTTGATCAGTAAAGCAAAGCTTTAGTCACCGTACGCGTAATAGGAACTCTTCCTTATCTCCATTTTTTTCAGCAGACAGCTCTCCTCGATGCTTTACATCAAATGCTTGTAAGGGCACATTTGAGCTTTACGTTTCGACATTTGCTTTCAAGTTGTTGCACTAAGGTAAAACTTTCTTTAGCGCAATGAATTTAACTCACGTCAATTTAGCTAAAAAAAAAGAAGAAAAAATCGATCGAACAAGGTCAAGGCTATTTCACACCGTACCAAGGCTACTTAGAACTCGATATGTAGGTGGAAGGAATACTTTTCCTGCGCCGCCATATCTAAACTATGTAGAGGATAACAACCTGGGCCAACAAAAGATATCTGCCCGGAGGATTTTACCTGTCATTCCTTCAATGTCAGAATACGGAATACAGCATGGTGCCTCAAGTTAATTTACAGAAGGATGTTTTTCACCTATTTCAGGCTCAACTAACCAGATTAAATGGTTCGTCGTTAAGGTTCACAACTTAAAATATTACTTTCTTTAGTCAGATTGACGGAACGATTCCTGATCACTCCCACTTTTCGGAACAACTTCTGAATGTTGCATCGATATTTTGAGAACTTGTATAGGTAGATGAAGGGGTTTATGCAAGAGTTGATGCCGATCACAGAGAAGGACCACAATTGCAAAATGGCCCGCAAGTAATTCTCGTCAGTTTTCATTTGTACTAGAATGGACGGCAACAGAAGAGCCGATAGCCAACAACACACCGTTGTTGCTAGCACCAGCCCAACTCCTACGGTAGCTTTGTTTAAACGACTTCATCGATTCGGCAAATTTTGCGGCCCTGCTAGTACAGACTGATCCATGATTCTTCGAGCTTGCTCTCTTGCCTCTTTGTAAACGAGGCCGTAAAAGAGGAGAATATACAAGATGATTATGGCGGTTTAAAGATGGATAACTACTTTAACCTTCGCATTGCCACTCAAGTTGACAAGGCCTATTCCGAGCCCAACGAGCCATGAAACGGAAATTATCAGTGCAGCATTTCTCTCGTTCATCCACGATATGTACTTGGAAGGTAAACATATTGCCACGAAACGTTCAAACGTCACGGCCAGTGTTCCGTTTATGGAAGAGATTAACAAAGCGTAACCAAAAACTGCCTGGGATAGCAAAAATGCTTGGGTTTGGTTCGGCTGATTGAAACGAACAGTCAGTATTGGTTGGTAAACTGCACAAGCCAGAAATTGGCCACTGACAAACTGAGAAGGAATACTCTCATTCCATCCATGACCTGTAAATCACCCTGATACTCAGAGGAGCGTTTATCAAACACCTCATCCGTGGAACAATTCCTTCGAAGTCTGGTAGCAACTCCATAGGGAATGGCCCTGGTGACATGAGCAGAATGTGCACTATTCCGTAGCAAGTACATATGGTTATCCGTGGGTTTAGAGTAGCTATAAGTCTGGATGAAGCCGTTCACCAAATTAAGAGTAAGGTCTAATATCTTGAGTGAATTAGGAGATGAAACTAAAGCAAATTTAATGGTAGGATACAGGGAATTGCTAAAGTTGGTGAATTCATTAAGTTTGGCATGCCCTTGGGTCCAGAGATGAAAAATGTCGTCCCTGTACCTCGCGGTGTTTTGCAATCATCCAGAAAGTGCTTCAATTAGGCTTGTCTGCTGTGTTAGGCAAGTTGGTTACATGGTCAGCGGTTGCTCTCTTCAAACAATTTGTTACGCTATTTCTGCTAACCCGGCACAACCGTCTACGCAGAATTCTGTTAACGCCGTTTTCCTGCTCTCCACAAAAACTCATCCACTGCTTCACAATGAATGAGTTAAAAACGAAGTAGGATCCTCTCTATGAGATGTAAGGATGCAAAAAGGATAAGATGATCCAATTCATATCCTAGTTTTCTCTAATATCTAAGGCTCGACACAACTTACTAGCCAAATGGCTAGTGACAACTTAGATGTTACAACAATTTCAGTTTGTTTAGTAGCCAAACTGGCTAGTGAAAATCAAAAACCACTAGCCAAGACTGAGTTTGTACTAGTCTGTGGCTAGCTGGCTACCATTCTTATCAAGTCCTGATATGATACAATGAAATATATGAAGTTCATATATTTTGAACTGTGGTATTAGATACATATATTGCACGATCGTGCAACATATGTAAGTCCTGATATCATGACCGGCCAAGGGATGAAATTTGACGTCATAATTCAAATCATGATTAAATTTTGACCAAAAGCTTATCGGTTCAGTATCTGCTTTAAAATCAATACTTGCAGGGCTCGTTTAGTTATTCGTTTCAATGATTCGCTTTTCTCTTGAAGAACTGACTTTTCTTAAGATATCAGGCCTCAATGGTTTACCGTTCGAAACGAAAACTGTTGGATTTTCACATGCCAAATAATGAATTGTGTACATTTACCAAACAGCGACGCAAGGGCTGCAAGAGAAGTAAACAAAGTTTTCCTGTCAATATCAGTCATGAAACTGAATGGGTTCCTCTTAAAATAAATGTTATATATCCACAAATTAAAAAAAAAAACAAAAAAAACAAAAAAACAAAAAAAAACAGATGTGGTCAGCGTTGCAGAATGAGTTCAGAAATCGATCAAATGTTTGTAGTGACGAAAAATTAGACTTGCATGAGAGTAAAATCATTGTCCAGGTGAAGGCAATCTTGAAAAAGAGTGATCCTATTGTAAACAAGGTGACTCGATGTATGGGAAACTTAAGTGGTAAAATACATCCCGACTTTTAAAACTCTTGTGTTGATGGCAGGTTATATTAAGGTAACTGAAACTGTCTTTTTCCTGGACAGTGACTCTTACAACAAGATGAATGTAAACCAGTGTATCTCTTTTTAGCATAACTTAAATACAAGCAGCAACAGCCATTAACAACGAAATCAATTTGAATGTACAATGTATATTATGTCAGCATGATTGCATGGATTTAGCAGCTGCATTATTTGACTCATTTTTTTTCATATTTCTATGTACCGTAAACTCTTAGAGGTTGTCCAATTGTATTTGGATGAGGACTATGTTGCCAAAAAGCATGTAAAATGTAACAATTTTTTTTGAGGGGGTGGGTGGGGGTGTTTTAAACTCGCATCAGAATAGTCTGACTGACTCTGTATTCATTTGCTCTAGTTGCCAAAATTTAAATTGTAGAATTGCTATTTGGATCACATTAAAGATTCAGACTCAAGCTCTAAACTGTTTTTTTTTTCTACTACACATGGGGAACTTTGATATCAGCAGTGCTAAATATTCACAGGATATGTGAATTTCAAAAGGTATGAAGCTGGGAAAGCAACCAGCCTGAAAGTGTCCCGGCTTCAATTTTGATTTATTCTTTAAATTTTACCATATGCATGCACTTTCTCCTTTTTAGCAGAACTTACGTCGTCGCTGTCACTTTTTGTTCAACTGCCTACCAAGCTTGAAAGTCACAAACCCCTAAAGCTGGCCCTCTCTCTACTAAAACATACCATTTAATGACTCTGTAGATTTTTATTCCCCGTGACTCTAAAGCTAAATAATGGGTGGTCGCTGAACTGTTGTAAATGAACTCTTTGAGAGCCTGTTTAGAGTATCAACAATGTAAAAAGCAGTGGAATGAACCAACTGCAGCTTCACTGGGCCGAATCTCTGTTTTATCGTACCATGAAATATTTGGCCACGGGGACCAGTAATATGCTCGCAAAATATCGTTTTTTGGTTCAAAATGTATGGGTCAATTCTAAAGTCTTTGATAATTCATTTTGCTTCATCGTTTTCGTTGAAGAAACTTATTTTAGGCTCCAGCTTTGTTGAGCTTCCAACAGATACTTCTGGATGGGAAGTACAATTAATCGACTGAGAAAATAAATAGTTCATAGACGCCAAGTTCAAGTTTGAAATTACCTGTAATTAGCCTTTTCTTTCAGATCTGTTTACTGATAAATATATTTACATGGAGAATAGTGGTGCTTTCCCTTCTCTCTTCTTTCGTGGCTTAATTCGATTGGGATCAGACACGAGCTTCACCTTGCAGTAGTATTTGGAAGATTTTTTTCTGGAAACAGCTTGCGAGAATGGAAGCAACCGAACATAGTCTTGGTGCCGGCAATGTTGATTTTTCGCTCATGATGCGAGTTTTAATTTTTGGCGTAAATTGAATCCTTTGAGCAAAAATAGTAAAAATAATTTCTCTAAGCCGTTTGTTTACCAGAGGCTTGACAATAGGTAAAAGTAGTTATTCCAACCTAATGAAGGAGTGCTAGACTAAAATCTTTTGTTGCAAGACAACGTTTTAATTTTTGGCCTGAGACAGAGTTTTAATATTTGGCGTAAATTGAACCCTTTAAGGAAAAATAGTACAAGTAATTTCTCTAAGTCGTTTGTTTGCCAGATGCATGACACCAGGTAAAAGTAGTTATTCCAACCTAATAAAAGGGTTTTAGACTTCAATCTTTTGGTGCTAGACAGCAATCTTTTGTTGCTTTTAGTGTGTAACGGGAAAGTACCTACACAGTTGTTTGTTGGATCAAAGAGAGAGATTTGTTACGCCAAGAAGTCATATTTCTACGATAAAAACTTTACATCATGTCATAGATTTAAGGTAAGAATATTAGATTCAATATCAAAAGCTGAGATTCATGTGCTGTAGTTTTTTTTGTGCATGAAACCGGTTATTGTGTTGGGTAGTGACTCTCACTGCAGCTGTCTTTCAAACGTGGTTTAGTCTAAGGCGCTTTCACGTACAAATTCCGTATTTCACTTTTCTTTAACTTCTTAGTGAGCAAATTATATTCAAGCTTTTTTCGCACAAAAGATGCATCTCCATCGAGCGTTTTTCGATTGAAAATTGAGACTGTCAGCGTTTTAGTCACTCAGAAAAAGAGGCAAGGATCATGAGTCAACATGTGGTGAAATTATTGTTTCTCCCCGAGCTTGAAAGATGAATAGATGAAAAGAAAAAAAAAACCTTGCAGTATCCAACAAGTATATCTGAATACCTTCATAAGTTCTAATAAGGCATGTGTAATGTAGAACGAAAAGGCCAACATTATGACATAAGCTTAATGTGATTTTCTCTCGAGGCCCGTCATTTATAGATTTAAGTATTTAGGTGTGCCTTTGCATGGGGCAAAGAGCGTTGTCAATCGCAGATCTTAAGCCAATCAAATGAGCTTAGTATAGACACGATAAAAAAGGAAATTTCGTTTGTCATTTTTTTTCTTTTTAAAATTCAGCTGAGCAAAAGATTCCATAGTGTTCTGAGGGTATACAGTTTTATGCAAACATTTCAACTAAGAGCTCGTTTCCTTTAACGCATTTGCAGAGACTAGTGAAAATCTAAAAATCTCGTGTTTAGCATTGCCTTTCGTTGGAAAAAATGATAATAGACAGATAAGGTAAAAGAAAAAATAAAATAAACGGGAAAATGCAAAGGATACTTGTTTTCTGGTGCTGAATATTAACTAGCCTTCACGAATTATTAATTAGATAGCAAAAAAAAAAAAAGAAAACAGCACTAAGAACACTAGAAAAAAAAAACCACTAACAAAAGAGGAAAAAAATTCACAAAGTAATCGGAGGGTCTCGATTAGGTGATAGCTCTGAATTTCTCTTTTACATTATCTCCCTGTCCTTTTTTTCAGAAATTATAGTCGAAATGGAGTTTACGGAAGTTCTCTCTTTCATGGCTCTTCTTGTGGGAATTTTTGTGCTAGTCTTGAATGGAAACTCTGGTGCCTTAGCTACACAAGGTAAGCAGTGAAGCCATTGTTACAACTTTCAGGGATAACAGCAAACAGAACTTAAGGCAGCAAGGTATTTCTGGCCCAAATGAGAGAGATTAATTGCTCAAACATGATCAGTTATTTCTCTAGCAGGTAACGAAGAACCCGCTCAAATTTACTCTGCTGAAACATTTAGCTTTGAAGCCCATAACGCCCATAAGCATCGATCAATTTCATCATAGCTAATTATTTATTTCCTTTTTTGCGTTATAGATTTTTCATGAACAGTTAAACATTATGTACTGACTTTGGATATGATTTTAGCACTTTTTAGGATGTGGAATTTTGGTAAAAAACGCACTGAAAAGTCCGGGATACCCAAGCAACTACCCAAATGATATGGATTGTGAATACTCGGTTCCTATTTCACACGGAGGGCCATTGGGAATATATTTCGACGACTTTGATCTGGAATTCGAATCCTCATGCAGGTTAGATAGGCCTCTATAAGGAATTATTAAAAACTGGATCATTGGATAATGCAATTCAAGACTTTTTATTGGCTCAGCCATTGTGGTATATGAGCCAATATACCATAATCTACAAATGTGGTAAGCGCTCGCGTCAGCTTAAAATTAAAAGGGAGCTAAAAATTTAGTAAAATTTGATGTTGAATTTAATGTTTTTAATAAAACAATTATTCCACTCGCGCTTGTTGGATATGAGACGACTATAGTCAACTCGGGGCTACGCGCCTCGTTGGCTATCTATCATCTCGTATCCAACGAGCGCTCGTGGAATAGTTGTTAATTATTTTTTGTTCTTGCTGTTTTTTAAGTTGCACGCTCGAGGGCTCTATTCGTCTGTCTAATAATTAATGTGAAGTAGATAACTGTGAATTTTTATTGAACAGATGCACGGCAACAGGAATGCATTTGTTTTATATCACTAAAGAAGCAATTGAGCTCATTATATAATCCGTGCATGGTTGTGAGTCGCACAACAGTGTTTGGTTGAAACAAAATAAAACAATAATATGAGCCTTCCTTGTTGAGTTTTGAACTACTAGTGAATTTATCCTGATACAATTCATGAATTAAAGTTGATTCGAACTGAGTGCACCCTTATCAACTACCTCGTTACAGAAATCTCAAGCACTTTATTTATTTATATAGAGATTTGTTCTTTCACACAGGGATTTATCTTCCAACAAGATTACCTCTCTATCTGATAAAGTGTTCGCAAACGTAACACATCTACTGTGGCTGTGAGTGGCACCAGATTTATCTGTTTTAAACAAACGTACAGTAATAAATGGACCTGTTGAGCAATAAAATTGATAAAATGACATAATTTCTTGTTTCGGATGAAGGAGGTTTTCAATTACATGCACTTAAACATTATCACTGTACACATTTCACATGTGTAAGAGACCATGAGCTGTCCATCTCCCGTTCGTGTTGACATTTTCGGTTACTCGCTGTATAAACATTGTTACGGTTTTTGCATCATTTTCGTAATGGAATCTCGACCTTGAACAATATTTCTTAGGTTTACGACGTTGATTCGCGCTTTCGTTTTGAAGCGTTACTGTAGCTTTGAAGGTTTCTGATGAATGGTTGCCGTTTATTTTTGTACTGGTTGCCAGAGGAAGCAAGTCAAACTAAAAAACAAATACAGATTTTTTTAAATATTGAATAACATTTGAGAGTTTTTAACGAAATGTAACTTACAATTCGTTGGGCATTCCATGCATCTTTTAGATCTTTTCGTGATCTCTGGCTGACCGTTATTTGAATATTAGATTCTTCGCGACTTTAAATAAAAAGAGGGGTTGGTCCCCAGACTCCCTGGGACAACGCTCTGGCGCTAAAACTATAAAACACTAAGTGCAAATCAGACGTAGTAACAAGATAACTGAAAATCTTTCTTAAAGAACGTGCCTTCATAAAGTGTTTCCAATTAGTTTATTTATTTATGTATTAAATGATCATTTATCCATTTATTAACAAATTTATTCATTTTCTGTTAATCAGGGATTTATCTTCAAACAAGATTGCTGTTCTACCTAAGAAAGTGTTTTCCAACTTAAGAATTATTTATGGCTTGTAAGTAGCCCAGACATACTCGATAAAAATTTGAGTACAGAAACAGATAGAATTTTCTCATGTATTGATATTTAAACTGAAAAACCATGTAGTTTCCCATCTTTAAAGCAGGATTTCTTACCCTCAGCAGTAAGGATATTATCGTTAAGCATATTCTAAATTTGGAGAGAACTGATTGTTGTCGAAAGACTATGATAAAGTTACTTATATATTAATTTTTACTCATTTAGGTATTTATCTTCAAACTTGATTACTTCGATACCTAACAACACGTTTGCCAACCTAACAAATCTTCACTGGCTGTGAGTGACACTATTCAAACCCATTGAGAACAATAAGATGAAAAGGAATATTTCCGGTTTAGCAGGCATTAGTTACCTACTGCATGTAGGGAAGATATTAACATTTTAAATATGCTGCATGCAAAGCGAACTGAATCTTAGAAGAAACCATGAGCAGTTGAGGTTCTCTTGATGTTCTGCAAGGTGTTCATTGGCTGCATCAACATGGTCAATAGTTTGTTCGGATGTTACGCTTGATCAGTATTACTTAAGAACATTTTTGTAGCAAGAAAAGTAAAAGTCTTACTAAGAGGACATTCTTGCATTACGTGTTCCCACGTGGAGAATTATTGCAGGTAATAGGGAACTTAAGCAGTCACGACGGCAACGCCTCGGAAGACGTCGATTAACAAATTAGTTTCTACTTTTAGTTAGAATTTCGAAAATGGCTGCATGTGTTTACCGTCTCATAGGGCGCCTGACCTCAAACTCAACATAACGCATAAAAGTAGCGTCAAGTTCCAAATGTAAATTAGAATAATTTGCCGCCGCGGTTTCGGTTCGCAGACGACGCAAATTTTGGTGATTTCACGTTGTTGTTTTGCATAGGACGGCTAAGAAATGTACAAAGTTTTAAAACGCACGTGCTGGGCTATCGTTCTGCTAGTTAGATCTATTGTTTTTCCACGATCTCGTTTCCGTCGCCGTCGGGACTGTTTAAGTTCCCTAATCACAGCAGTGAGTGACCCTAGATTAACCCAATTTTTACTGCGTACATTGAAGATATCTTTAGATCTGTTAAGTCATCTCTTTGTTAATCTATTTATCTATTTTTAAACAGTGATTTATCCTCAAACATGATTACCTCTCTACCTGAAAAACTGTTTGCCAACTTGAATAGTCTCATTACCCTGTATGTAAGTTATACTAGACACACTTATTTAAACCAAAGCCCCATAATAAGTGGAGAAGCTGTACATTGATATTGATGAAACTTGTTAATTTCCTGTCGTGAGAAATTAAATCTTTTTACCGCTGGCAGTGAAAATATTTATATCATTTTGTACATTTTGCACGTGAAGATAAGTGAATGTTGTCAAGAAACGATGAGAAGGTGGTGCTCTTTTGTTATTTTCCACGGTGGTAACCGGCAACATCGATAGTACTAATATTTGCGAAAGAAGAAGTAAATGGAACGAAGTTTCTTTATTTTTTATTTTTAGTTATATTAGTTTTTTGACTGATTTGTTACTCGTAATTACGTGGACCAAATCTAATTTAGTGCGATTTGATCTCGAAATTGAACAAGACTTAATTTTTAAAGAGTAATTGTGAATGAAATAAACTTGGGTGTAACAGTAATAGTTCATTTCAGTTAAATTCAGTCTTGATGTGCGATTAATTGAGAATTTCAAAATGTGTAGAAAATAATAATGCCCAGTTGCCTAAAAGCACATCAGGATTTCCTAAACTTTTTTGTAGGCCATAGTGACCCTCTTAATTTTAAGCTTGCTAAAACATCCTTTTTTGTGCAATAACAAGTTCAAATGGGACACAGTTGAAATTCTACACTCGTTTATTGTTACTTTTTTTTTCTGTGTGTCATGTCATCTATATTGTATATTTCTTAATTAGCTCATCTAGTTTTGCATCAATCTGTTTAATTTATTCATAAATTGATTTGTTTAATTCTTGTTTTATTGATCTTAGTCAGTTGTCTATCTTCTCAGGGATTTATCTTCAAACGCGATTGCCTCTCTCCGTGATACAGTGTTTGCCAACCTAAAACGTCTTGATATTCTGTAAGTGATACTAGACGTACCCGTCAAAAAACCAAAACACGTTAAGAAACGGAAGAGCTGTGTACAGATATTAATGCAATCGATATCTTCACTGCACGCTTTGAAGACATTATCGCCATGAACATCTCGCTTGTAAAGAGAACTAAAAGTTGACCAAGACGGTGACCGATTTGATGGCGTGGTTTATGCTTCATTTTTCACTTCACTTTTTCTTACTGATAATGAGCAGTGCGCCCGTAGTAGAGGCTTTATGTCATTTAAAGCGTTTATTATGTAACTGCATTTTTTCTATCTATTTATGTACTTATATGATAATTCAGTAAATCATCTTATTGCGAATTAGTCTTTGCATGTAATTTGTATGTACTTTTTTTTCCTTTTCGTCCCTTTTTCTATTAATTCAGGTATTTATCCTCAAACAATATTTCCTCTCTCCGCAGTGACGTGTTTGCAAACTTAGCTAGACTTACTTCGCTGTAAGTGACCCGATTAAGACCAACGTTCAATAATTACTGGAGTTTCCCATGCCTAGGTATTGATAAAGTATCTTGATTTATGCTTCTGAAGCGTGATATCTTCACTGCATGCAGTGGATAAAACTATTATTTGCATAATTGCTCAGGTGATAATAGAGATGCACACGCTCTGATTGGTCGAGGATTTCGTCATAGCTCGCTTTAATCGACCCGCGCGAAGAGATTATAGCAGGGAGCGGTAAATTCAAAATGGTTGTGACTTAAATGGATACTCCAAAATCAAGTTTCCGAGTAAGGACTGGAACTGAATAATTTTTTTTTTCCGTAAATAATGAAGTAATAGGCAATAATGGTTCCATTCCTTACTCGGAAACCTGATTTTGGAGTATCCATTTAAGTCACATCCAATTCAAAATGGCTACCTCGCGTTTTGTCAATGTTTCCGAAGAAGTGATTCACCCGAAAGAAGAAAATTCAAATGAGAAGAGCACAAGAGATCCTACTATGTTTTGAATTAAATAAACCTATTTAAATTTCCCTTTTATCTTCATACGAGCAATCAACACAATTCCAACAAAATAGGCGCAATGCTATCTTTATTTACAGAATTTACAACAGAATTCAAAAGAACCTGAGCAATTATTTGCCGAAGGCGTAGTGAACATTGTTAAATAATCCCCCCTGACTTCGTCTCAGGCATTATTCAACAATACTCACTTCGCTTTCAGCGAATAATTGTTGATAATTACCATCATTATTATTATTATTGTTATCATTATCCTCAATGTTTGGAATATGAAGATAACTAAATGTTGTGCATGGTGGTGACCTACTACACTAACGTGGCCACGTTTTTGTGCTTCATGTTTATGAATATATTTTTTCTCTATCAATATTACTAGTCTTGTGCGCAGTTAAGTGCTCACAAACAAATCTGAAGCGAATTTTCACAACGGGGTTTCAGCCTTCTCTCACGGTTAGGAAGTCCTTTTTGATATCAGTTGAGATTGACAGCAAGTCAATTTGAGTAATAACAAATACTAACTGTAAATGAATACCGCGAATTGGTTAGACTGGTATCAAACAGCCCCACTGACCATGAATTTCACCTAGAATCAGTGCTCATATTTAAGAACTCGTGCGATTCAAAACTTTTGGCAGCGCCATGTCGACAAAATTTAATGACTTCTTTCTTGAAGAATTCGAAGGTAAGTAAGAGCAAGCTTTTCGTATACAGCGAAAGTTTCAAACTAGAACTGATTGTTGCAGTCTGTACTTGCGAAAACAAATGATGCAAGTTTCTTTCATCATATCAAAGCTAAACTTCACTCTAATAAACTGAAAACAATACAGTTGCAATATTGTTAAATATAGCTCGATACAGTCAATAGTGTATGGTCATCAGCTATTTCTTTTTTCATTGTATCAGTACGTAATAACTTACTTATTTACTCATTTATCTATTATCTATTTCTAAGGGACTTATCTTCAAATATGATTTGCTCTCTCCCTGATGAAGTATTTACCGGGCTAAGAATCCTTCGTCAACTGTAAGTGACAAAAATTTTTGAAATCATAGAACAAAAATAAGTGTAAACTTCCATGCCTATCATGATTAATGAAATATATATACACGTTATTGATCAAGCGTAGGGTCAAGATGGTTGAATATTGGCGGGTTTTTTCGGTTTTTTTTTGTTTTTGCGTTTTCATGGACTGGGACGAAGTCAAGGTCCATGAAAATGCAAAAGAAGATGGAATCCTTGATTTAAGACATACTTGCATATTTCTATATTTCCACTTCGTTAAGTGACGATAATATAGCTTTAGAAAAGGAAATCCTCACATCTATCCGCATTTCATTTTATTATATTACTGGCAGTGCCCGTGTTCTGATTGGCCTCCTGAGCGGGTGAAGATGGGCGCTTCTTGCCCGCTCGGAATTGCCCGCTTTGATCCCGCGCAAGAAAAACACTGCGTGAGGCGGTCTTACAAATTTCGTAATTTTTGGACAGTGTCGATCGGGAAAGAGTTGCAAAAAGGGGCAGGAGACAGTCATAATAAAGAGTACGTAAACAACTCTTCCGGATTGATCTGCATCAATATTAGAGTAGATGGCAGACAGTTCGTTGAAATTTTGAGGTATTCACTTATTTATTTTGGTTTGATATATTTAGGGATTTATCTTCAAACATGATCACCTTTCTCTCTGACAAAGTGTTTGCCAACGTGAAATATCTTTGGTACCTGTAAGTGACGAAGGAGACTGGAACCAACCATGGAAACCAAATGCAAAGCACAAGAATGAATTGATAAAATATGTTAATTTTCCTTCTTCCTTAAAATGAGTTCTCAAAGGAGCTACGTCATTACTCACGCATGCGTAGAAAGAAGAGAGAAAGTACTGAGGTCTCATGATATACACTTAATAGATAATATCTACTAACCGAGGTCTCATAATATATATTTACGCAGTAAAGGTTTTTTTTTTTCTGTCAACATTTTGGCACGGGTTTAAAAATCACTTGAAGTTAATTCGCAGATCAACAAACGGTGTCATAAAAATTGTGTTTCTTGGTCTCTTTTATTCTAATATACCCAACATCCCAGAATCTGCGACAACAGGATCTTCGTCTCTGTGGAAGGGAAGACGGTTATGATCTTGAAACCAAAAAGTTGCCAAAAAACAGATTAAGAAACTAAACAGCAGATTCACTTCGTATGAACAAATTATCTTTTTGTGGTGTAGTTACCGAACCATTAAAATTCGTTTTTCCAGTTTGACGAAAATATTTTGTTTTAGATTACTTAATGATAATCGTTTACAGCGTGTTCCATATCGAGCCTTCAATCACATGAACCATTTAAAACTGCTATAAGTAAACAAGAAGGCAAACCGATAGAATAACAAATTTAGTCTTTTTTGCTATTTGTTTTTTAAAACTCAACTCCATGTTTTTCAATGGTGCTTCTCGATAAAAAACGGGAAAATTTTATTTGATCAAAACATAGCAGACTACGAGATATATAATTTACATGTTCTTTTTAAATTTATTTTATCCTTTACAGTATAAAGTAAGAAATAATTCATTTTAAAAGCTTGCACTTCGAGAGAGTGGAAAACCGAAATGCCACACCTGTTTTTATCCATTCCCCATTGACCAATAAGAAACAACAGTTTTTGTCAGTGAGTACAAATAGACAATTTTATCTGATAAATTATCAAAAGATTTTGACTCCTTTAAGAATATTACTTTCATTCCAGAACACTGTCCGATAATCCTGTCGAAGAAATTGAGTCGAAGGCATTTGGTCTATCTAATCATGAAGTAAAAATGTAAGTGATCACTTGATTATCTATTATGCCGCCCATAATATTAGAAAGTGGCAAATGTGTCTGCCGAAAAGTATATATATACTCATTCAATCATTTATTTTTTGCAACAGATTTCTCCTACGAACCTCATTGAAAACGATTGCCTCTGACATATTTTCAAGCAACCATCCTCACGATTTTCGAATGTAAGGCAGCGTGATGAGTAATAGGCCGGTCAGCGAGTGCGGTACAAACAATCATTCAATTTTTTCTTTGTCGTTGCAGAACTCTGACAAACAGAATCACCAGGGTGATAGATTATAATTACCCGTCTGGCACTGGAAAGCACTCCTTATATCTGTCAGTATGATAACGTGTAGGACACTACATGGGTCAGTTTGCAGAAAACAGCCGAGAGAGAAGTGCACTCCGTATATTTCGTGAAAATGCGTTTAATGGCGGAATTCATCTTCTATTAGCATTTGAATATCACTCTATAATGTTATTTTACTACAAAATGAATCACATTGACACGAGCAACTCATATAATATTAATTGGATGACGTGAAAAGCAAATCAGCTCTGCATCCCTCGGGAGATCCCTCTAACATCAACCTGACCATCCCTGCCACATCTTGGAGTAAATTGAATTGAATAGACAGTTCACTCATCGCAGGTCCTAAATGAATACCATTGAGAGCTGTATTGGGAGGCCTAAGTTTGCCCATGGCTGTATGGCTCACAATACAACCGACTATTAAAGTGCTATACAATTTAGCATATGCATGCGAGGATCTTTTGTTCCGTTCTTGCTCTAGAGCTGTCGAATTTGAACATGAGCATGCTGGGGTTTTCAAACACTATTTACAATTTGTCCTTAGGAATCCTCTCGAAAGACATGACGAAGCTATCACAGTTCCTTCAACAGTTTCCCCATCTGTTTTATCTTTTCTGCATAAAGTGGGATTCAGAAAAACTGCGTCTGAAAGTAACTATTTCATATTTCTACCCTGTCCCTTGGGAACATTTTCACACCACACCTTGTTTACCTCGGAGCTAGATTTGGAGATCTGCACAGATTGTCCACCAGGTATGCTATGCTTGATTGCGTAGAGCATTAATCGAGAATGCCTAAATCCAACTAGGGTTGTGTCTGCTTCATTTTAGTTAAGACCCCGACAAAGGACAATACAGTTGGTTGCATGTATGCCTTTATACTACACAAGCTTATATTCTTAAACAAACATGGTGTTTGGGTGCAGTTTTCTGAATGTTAGTCAAGCTATGATGTTTGTCTGCGATTTCATGTCTCTGGCGATGTTGATTTCTTCAAAGATAACCAATAGCCTCCCAATACAGCAGTGAGAAAGACGTGGCTGAGAATTTAGCCAGCTCGTCAACAGTCGGGATCAAAGTTTAAAGCATGAAGCAACATGTTTGACTTACGTTACAAAGTAATCCCTTGTCAAAAAATTAAGATGTCGTCTTTTTAAAATCAAAGCATTTCAAATGGTTGAGTCTCTTATGCGTTGGTTCAGCTATGACATGTCTGTTCGAGCTGACACGAAATTTTTTGTAGACGATATCTGCTTTTTTGTAGTAAATTGAATATGTACATATTGACTGAGTAGCAGGGCCGAACGGAAAAGTTTTGGGTCGAGATAATGACGTACGAACCAAGCGCAGCGACGAAACAAGAACGATCGCGAAGGGAATCTGAAAAACAAAAAAAAGCAAAAGCAGCAACAACAACAAAGAAAACTGGTCAGCGAGGGGTTTTAGCCAGTGATTTTCTTTTTTCAGGAGGATTTTACTCCGATAATCTTGCCTTCGTGGCGAAAGGCTGTAAGAAATGTCCGAATGGGTGTTACATTGCATATGAGAAGAAACCCGGAAAATCAGTGCTAGATTGCAAGACTTGTCCTTTGGGTAAGCAGACACCCACGATTATGTACCTTTAAAGGTAGTTTTTATCCAAGGCATATACCGAACTAAGAGATTAATAATCTCTTGAGCCAACGTACAAGGTTACAAAAAGGTGTTCCGGTAGCTAGCTCTTTAGTCGAAAGATAGACAGTTTTGAAACTGGAATTAGAGAATATGATGTGTAACAGTGCATGGAAAAAGATAATATATCGATTTTCCCTCAAAGGGCCAATTTTATTTAGTATCAATTAGCCGTCCGTTAGAGATTTTCTTCTTATACGTTAGAGGCGTTAACGTATCCGTTATCCGTTTTGTAGGCAAGTCAACGTTTTATCATTTTTATTTTTTTTCACGATGTAAGAGTCAGGTTAATCAATATAATGCTGGTTGCCTGACGCAGAGTAGCTGTACAGTAGTCGAAACGTTGCTAGTAACTCTTACATTGTGAGTCAAACGATGGCCTTAAGCAAATCAGAAAAATAAAACTTTAAAGGAATGGATAGGATGTGGGAGGAGGCAAGCATCTGGAGCTTCAAACGTTGGGCACAAGTTTTGCATAATGTAGCAAGAGACATGAATGTGCAGTTTGCGTTAAGCTCTTAGTTTAGTTCTATAATAAGGTTTGAGGATAATGTAACTGGCCTGAATAAAAAATTCAAAACTATTAAACGATTCATCTCTCTTTTAGGAACTAAAACTGACTTTTTCGCTGGATACCGAGCTTGTCCATGTTTGGAAGGTCATTACCGAACCCACTTATTTGAGGGATGTCGCGAATGTGGCAAAAAAGATGGACTTGTTTGCCAAAGAGAACATGCTTCCTTAGGACCTGGTTATTGGTGGCAGTGGCGTAACGATTCTTACAAACGTCGTTATCAAGATTTTATCAAAAATCTCATGGAATCTAAACCTGTATTAGATGAGCATTCTGTGAAGTATCCTTATGTACTTCCATCGCCGTACAGATGTCAGGTACCAGAGTCCTGTAGGGGAGGGTTGGACTCACCATGTGCAAAAGGATACGAGGGGCCAGTTTGCGCCGTGTGCAGCTCAGGATACTACAAGCAATTCCACAAATGCAGAAAATGCCCATCAAAATCATGGATCGTGGGTCAGTTATCTCTTGTTGCAGTCGTTTTATTAATAATGTTTTCTCTGTTGGCACGGAAAAGGAAAACGAAGCTTAAAACGGACCGTGCTCTCGATCTTATGGACAAGTCCTTATCCAAGTTAAAAATCTTGATAGGATTTTACCAAGTTACTCATGGCTTACTGGACTTGTTCTCTTATATCAGGTGGCCAGATTCGTTAGAAGTTGTTGCAAAGTACTCTGGAATGCTTCAACTGAATTTGCTTCAGATTGCACCTTTTCACTGCTTATTCCCAGGATTACACATGAACGCATTTGGAGACTTGTTTCTGATCCTGTTGTTGAATGCAGTTGCCATTACCGCTTCTGGTTTGATCTATGGTATTCGCAAGAGGATTATCTTTGGAAATGAAAGCCTAGATGATGAAGAAAAGGCAGCCAAAACATCACGAATGAAAGAAATTGTGTACAAGAATCTCTTCTTTATCCTTTATGTGACTTACTTGAGTTCGTTTTCCAAGACAGCTAGTGTTCTGCCACTTTCTTGCCGTAAACTGTGCAGGCACAAAAATGAAAAGCTGTGCAATGAGTATCTTAAAGCAGACTACAGTGTGAAATGCCAAGGCCACACATATAACCACTTGCTGATTGTCGCATACATTTCCACTGCGTACATCTTTGCCCTACCCGCTGCGTCATTCATCGTCCTTTGGAGGCATCGACGAGCAATATCAACCACAGTAAACGGTGATGGGTCACGCGTCGGCACGGAGACTGTTGTAGGTTTGCGGTTTCTTTTCGAAAACTACAAACCGCAATCGTGGTATTGGGAGCTGGTTGAAATGTCTCGGAGAGTAATTCTTACCTCAGGCCTAATACTCGTGGGTCATGAAAGCAGGTCGTACATTGGGCTTGCATGGGTCGTGGCTGGTATGTATGGAATTTATTTCTCCTGGATGAAACCCATACAGGAGCCATTCGAGAACAGATTAATGACAACTTCCCTCGCTGTTACAGTTGTCAACTTGGGTATTGGTGCTGTGAGCAGAATTCCAGCAGAGAATATATCGGGCGCAGTGGATAAACACATGGATGCCATTGCAATGAAGATACTGATTCTTGGAGCAAATACTCTCGTGATTGGGCTCCTCGTTGGTAAGTTGTAGTAATAAGTATTCTAATATTAGGTACTAAATATTTGAATCGTAAGATAATTTTTTGCTCGGGAATTTGCACATAATTAAGTTACTGAAGCGGTATTAAATTTCCTCATCAAAGGTTTCCTGCTTGATCAGAAAGAACCTCTGAAACCCCTGAAGATATTCTATGATTCGAATTCTATTAATTTTATCCTCAGTTCAGTATTTGGTGTACGTATATCAATACTTCAAGGAGTGGCGCGAGAACCCGCAATGGTCCTTCTCTTGTTGCTTAGCCGTGCTTCTTCCTCTCAATGATTTGCACGGCGAAATTCACGGTATGGTTGGAAGGAACATGCTTAAGGCACAGCTTCAGACAAGCATGATCGGAAAACCTTCCATTGCTGCCTGTGCAAAAGACAGTGGAGCTTTCAGTTTCACTCTATCTCGTGGAGGCCATAGAGGTAATGACGAGAATACAACAAAATTACGAGTCACTGATCAAAACTTGAGAGTAAAAAGACACCGCAAACTTCGCCCAATAATGAAAAATGACCATGGGACACAAACAGAAGCCAACTGGCCACCATCTCCTACTTCCCGTGGGTTATTGAAACCAACAGACGTCTCTGTGAGTGAAATGAAAATTTTGATAGATTTCATAAAAAGATCAGATTTACTGAACACTGTTTCTTTTTCCAAAGCGGACAAGTCCTTGTTTGCTGGCAGAATGGTACATTTTTTTTTATGTTGAGATACCAGACAAAGGGAAAAAAATTCATTCTATCTTTACCAACGTAGAGCCAATCTCACGACCCTTATAAGACCGATGTAGGCCACCTGGATCTCTTGCATGATCTTATAATAAGGAATTTATCGTCCTTTTTTAAACTCAAGTTACGCAATTGAAGGTTTTACGACGACGTAGACTCATACTAACAAAGATCTTCAATCCTTTTATTTCCGAGTCATCCGGAACACTTCCTAGCCTGTGAGCAGGTCCTGATCATTAACACCTCGTTCATCAGCGTTTCGTCACCTGAGGGAAAGTATGACGCCTCCAGAAACGCGAGCCAGCGAGGTCTTCAAGGGGTCCAGCACTTATAATCATTAGTGCCAGATCCCCCGGCAAACCTCTCCCCGACTCGTCCCATATCTTACCTCAGGCAGAGAAATGCACCTCCTGCAATGCTAATAGCCGATGAGGGTATGTGCATGCTTGTAGAGGGAAAAATTCTTTACTCCTTATCTATCCCAACTATTAACTATGTCGTCCCGTCTATCTTTTTACACCGATCTCCTGCTTTAATTTACCCGCTACGTTGTTTGTAGCCTTCTCCTCGCTTCCTCAGAGACAAATGTAATCAATTGATATGCATAAAATCCTTTTTAAGAGGAAGGAGGCAAAGAAATGATTAAATTGTTCATCGTTTGTGACGCAGGTCCCTCCTTCCGTCTCTCCATCAATTCGTTCATTTATTCATTTACTGGGGGTCCAGTTTCACGGTATAGTGGCCATTACATGATTTCTTTCCATTTTCGTTGGCATTATTCCTAAAAATTCTGTGATTTTTAACTTCTCCCCTTTCAGTTCGACATAGCCCTTTGAACATCAGCTCGCCACCAGCTGAATCCTAAAGTTTCCCACCGACAAAATGGAATGAAACGAATCGTACATAGGAAGGCGCAGTGTCTCTCGATTAATAGTCAAGTTTCCAAGCTAAGTTGTAATTATTAACTCTGAGGACTCTTAAACGTTACTTAGTAGCTATGACGAGCTAAACTAAGTTTGTAATTGGCCACAGCTGTTGCGGTGTCCCTACCAACGTTCTTTCTGTTGACTGTTTGTTTGTTTGTTTGTTTGTCTGTCTTTTGGCGAAGCTAATAAAATAAAATAAAAAAATAAAAATAAAATAAGTAAGCTAGGTAGCTTAAATCCTGAACAAAAACCTCTCAACCTTGCTGTTATCGTCTAAGCGGTTTCTACAAGGACCAATGTTAATCTAAAGCCATTTTATCTTTTAAGTCCCAGAGCATTACCACAAGAAAATGCACTACTCACTTCCTGAACAATTTTGATTATAGGAGTTACACCGTTATTCGAGGGTCTCAAGGGGGGGGGAGGGGGGGGTCACGTTGACGTTTGACGGTTAACCCCATTGAGACACTGTTATACTCGGACACGTTTCTAAGCTTTTTTATCACTTAGCTTTTTTAGCTTAGACAGTGCGAACCCAGTATGTTCCAATTTTACATTGGTAATCCGATGAGAAAAAATAATTAATGAAACGTTTTTGTGATCTGTTTGCAGGCGGTAGTTTATGTTTTCCAGCGCGAGATTCAAGGCGGTGAATATTCGGTCGCCCAATTGGACGGGTGGAAGATCTGGGACGAGTGACAAAGCGAAGGGAAGGGAGGAAGGGGATTTTCTCCTCTTCCCCCCCTCCCCTTCACAAACTACCGTCTGCAAGTAGGCTAAAGTTTTGTAGATAAGGCTTTCAGAGAGGAATTATGTAACTCCTGCACGGACACTGGATAGGCCTTTCTAGATTATGCTAGTAAAAGTAGCATATTATGCTAGTAGCATTGCTTTTTTTTGGCGAAATCATGCTGAAATTATGCTCTTTTCTCCAAATTATGCCCCTTGTTTAAAATTATGGTCTTTGAAAAAATTGCAAGTAAGTCCAAAAAATACATTTTTTAATTAGAAGCCGTTGGTCCACAAGAAAGAAACGCAACAAATACACAATGAAATTCAAATAAACATGTGGTTCATGTTAACATGCACACTAGTACATGGCCTACNGGATGGAGTGGAAGGTCGAGACACCAAATCCTCAAATAGTCTCAACTTTGGCCTGCTATGATCGCAGAAGCTGAACACACACAGGTGGCTGGTATTCCTCATTGTGATTCCACTTTCCTTCGCGATGGAAATCTCTAATGTCGATAAACTTAAAGAATCGCTGTACTTCTGCTAAAGGGCAAAAGAAAATACAGCAAAACTCATTTAAATCCCACAACTCTCTAGTCTCGTGTTACTTATAGATTCAATTCACTAGAACCTCAAACTTGAAAACGAGACGTCTATGGACATGAATGCATATAGGTCGAACTCCAAAGCAACGTGAAAAGATGATGCTTTTTTTTCCACCGGATAAAAACGAACCTTAGTAACAAAAGCTAAACAATAATGATCTTAAACATATTTCTGCAAGAGTAAGGAAATCGAAGCTATTCAAAATAAAATAGGATTTTCTTTCGAAAATACTGCAGAGAAGAGGTTTTTTAAGAATCAGCAGCGTTTAAAGGAATATTAAAATCAAATTATTTAGTTTTTACCACCACATCCCCGAGATGGGCTCTCCATTTATATGTAAACGATTGATTGAACTTTTCAAAGAAAAAATAATGAATGAAAAGTTAGCTTAGCCAATGCAACTAGGGGGTAGAGTCACCTTGGGTACTAAGTACAATATGTCTGGTTTGTAGAGCAATCAAATTGTTATCATTATACGCAAGAGAATATAAAAAGTTTCTATCAGTTTGTAGCATCCGAATTATATTTTTTGCGTGGGGATTTGTAATATATTTACAGCAAGTTACCAATTTTGCTGTTGGTAACAGGTGATGGTCGGCTTTATAAAATACACGTGGAAAAAAATGGATAATTGTCGTCCACTGACAGCTAGACATAAAAGAGTCTGAAAAGTTGAATTTCAACTGCGATAATGAAAACTGAAAAAAGGCTTCACACAACGCCGTTAATTAAAAACTCACATCAAAAGCTTACTTTCGTACAGTCATGTAAAACTGGCTTTTGTTGCGGAAACACTTTTACGGCCATCGCAAAACATTCATTCGTAGGTTTGAATCAACAAGCTGGCCGTATTAAGGGCAGTGTATTTCTTTGAAAAACCTGTTTTTAGTCGTCAAGATGTTGTTTCATTTTACTACTACATGGCATCTCTTTTGAGATTAGTTGAAACGGAATTCAATTGCGCCCGGTAACGCGGTCTAAATAGATACCTTTCAGATAGAGTTGTACAAAAAAGAAATAGTAAAGAACTGAATATATAACACTCTTTGTAATGGATTGAGCACCAGTTATGTATTAAAATGACGGGTTAACGCATCTCTTTGCAATATCATAGGAGTCCATTTTTTTTCACAGGACATTTAAGGCATCTTTTATCGTTGTTGAAGATTAAATTTCTATCCCGAGGATTAAGCCATTCTCTCAAAGGCTCTCAAATTACGATCAGTAATAGACAAAAGATAAAAGACATAATGAATGCCTCCATTTAGATTCATTTCATCTCAAAATAATATTTGGGGAATTTTCATATTTGAGTGCCTCAAGTTTGTTTAAGGCTTTCGTTGTGAAGCTTTCTCGGAAGTAATTCGCGTCGAAGTTCGATTACAGTAATGAAAGTTTCATGCAAACATATACATAGTATGCTTTCTTTTTAATTTTTTCACGCTATGGTTACTGATTCAACACTGAATAGATGTCGCTTAAAATTTTAAGGAATTTCTAACAATCGTGACTGAAACCGAGTTGTATCTTCTTTCTCAACCTCAAGGGCCACTCTTTACCTAAAGGTGAAAATTCCGACGACTTTTGTTAAGACGTCCTTCGCAGACATATTCAAATATTGCCCAAGCTAATTTTGCTAGGAGCTTATTTATAAGGAAATTAAACAAAGGTACAATTATTTGTTTAAACGAAAGAGAGAAAATTTCAAGGTTAACAATCGTCGCCAATTGGAATGCACGAAATGTTTCGCGTAGGTTTAGTCAAGTGAACACGGAACATGACTCTCATCAAGTGTTACCCAAAAACAAGAATTTTTTTCTTATTAGACGGCTTTCTTAGAGCTAAGTTTCCGCCAGACACTCATGTATATTCGGCGGTCTCGTTCTATTATCGAGTAATGTGGTATGTCGGTAGCTAGGATTGTAAAATAATAGAGGAGAGATAAGTATTATGCCTCAGATCAACAGCCCACCGACAGTTGTTGCTCAACTTCTGTCTTTAAAATTTTCGACGAAGGTTTTCTCTTGTGATCAATCCTCGTCATCCATGGATTAGTTTTCGACATTTTAGTGGTGCTAAAACATATTTGCGTTTCGTGCACGGATGACATTGCTTTCATTTTATTCACAATACTCTGTGCCATGAATTCCTTAGAGAAATGACAAATTCAATTCCGCCATTGTATCCGCAGACAATTAGATACTCGGTATCCAGTTTCTGAGGTATTCAATGATCCACTGAATAATTCATTGTTTGGCAATTAGAGAGGAAAACAATTCACAAAGTATGTGGTCTTATTGTGTGGCCATTTCGGGTTGGGCAATAACACAAATGTAACACTGTAACTAAATTACATCACTCGACGACCTTTCAGAATAATATCTACACTCGATCGTTTTGCCCTGAAAGGTTCGTGGCGCTTAGTTACCGGGATACGCTTCTGTACGTGTTTAAGGGAGGGATTTTTTACAAAGCCCTTATTGACTGAGGTTCTGAAACACTCAAACGCTTGATTTATTGCGTAGATATGTGAAACTGGGTTGCCATATTAACTCATAACAAATTCCTCTGAGAGTTTTCAACTAATTCGACTGTCTTGTGTAAGTGGATGGACCGCTGTTGTTTACACGACTTAGTAAGATCTGACAGGACACATAGAAACTATTTTGACACTGGACCAATCAAGACGCTCGTAAACAAAAGCTCTTGAATTTCTCGAATGTAAAAAAATAACTTGAACAAAAGCTAGCCGTCAGTCAATCCTTGTCGCGTCAAGAGATACCACACTCAGAGTTGAGTATACATCTCGATAACAACTCATCGAGTTCAAGAGATTTTCAAGTGTGTCTGGAAAAGATATGGCAGACACCTCCTACTCGATCCAGCAGTCCTTGTCGGAGAGAAAACCTCCTCGCATGCCTAAGTGTGCGCGCTGTCGGATCCACGGTATGGTGTCATGGTTAAAAGGGCACAAGCGATATTGTAGGTGGCGAGACTGCAACTGTGCTCAATGCACTCTGATCGCGGAGAGGCAGCGTGTCATGGCGGCGCAAGTGGCGCTCAGGCGCCAACAGACCCAGGAGGAAACCATGCGGGTTCAGATAGCTAAGAAAGCACAGGCGTATGTGGCTCCCCTTGTCAGCCCAGAACCGCAGTTTAATCCCGGTGTCGCAAGAACTCAGTCAGAAAAGGGAAAACAGCCCGTGTTCTCGTACCACCGCGCAGCCACACAAGGTAAGTGGACCATAACGCCGTATTTCAAACGTTCTACTTTCTCATCTTTTATTATTTTTTCATAAAGAAAATGCAATTTCGAACCGCGTGCCTTAAATATTCTTAAATTGAAAGCGACTTTCCGACCGTTTATGGAAATCCTTCACCGACGGGTACAATTTATAACATGTAGCAAATTGATATATGTTTGTAGTTCCTTAAGTTGTCAATTACACGCCTCCAATGCAAATATGAAAGCGTTTCATCTCGGGGAACTTAAGCGTTCAGTTTAGATAAGGTTTATGGCGTGCTTTATCAAATTGTGACAAGGTTTTCTTTTTTGATATCGGGCCAAGTGGAACTGACGCGAAAAGCTTCACTTAATTTCCTCGGACTGCCTTGCATTTTAATATTGATGGCGGAGTTTAAATATGCAAGACATAGTCAACAGAAGGATCTAATTAGCTCTTGTTCTTCTCTTTTGTAAATCAGTGCATTTTGCTCGCTATTGTGTCTCACAACTGCTGAAACACAGCAAAAGTTCTATCCGCAACATGTCTGGCGACCGAAGAGAGGTTTCATCATATCAGCTGTCGGTGCTACTTTTGAAAAATGTCACCAAGAAGACCAAAACTAGCAGAATTAAAATTCTGTCAGGTTTTTTACCTGCTATTGTGTCTATCCCAAACTGGAACAAAACAGTTTTCTTTCAGTGATAAAAGCGGATTACAAAGGGTTCACATCAATAGAATTTCTTAAGATTTCAAACTTAGGCTTGTTGCGCAAAACCTTCGCACGTGAAGCTAATAGTCTACGTCAATCGCTGGCGAAAACCCATTTTATTACACTGTCCTTATTTTAACCTTTACATGGATGAAAATTTCTTGCTCACTTGATAAGTGCTATTGGTTAAGCATTCCTTTCAAATTGACGAGCTGGTACACTTTAAAAGCTTTTGCTAGAACATTAACTAACTGTGTGAATATATAATCGGATAAAAGCAAAGCTGAAATTCGTGAGTACGCCTGTCTGATACCGAGTACTGACTTCCTAAAGTACGACACAGCTTATATTAATAATTCGCGACATTTCCCCGCAGAAACACTTCGTGATTGCTAACCTCTCATCTAGAAACAAATGATCAGTGAGATCAATGTTGGAAAGTTTTTTTTTTTCTCTTATAAGCCAAATTCTACAAAGAAATGTTTCGGTCGCCTAGCTACAAAGCCACTGGACAAGTTTTGTGTCAATTGTATTCACATGCTTTATTTCACCCGAATGGAAATTGTTTTCTTTTTTAGAGAGAGTCGATGTTTGCCTGTCCGCTCTTCAGAAAAGGGTTTAATGAAGGGCGTACAGACATATATATACATATATATAGTCAGCGAGAAAAGGCGAAGTCGGGAAGTTGTCCAAGGAAAGATTTGTTAACTTAATGCATCATGGTTAAAAGAACATTCGCTAGAAAAAATTGCGTCAATCGGATGAGGTTTTCCTTTAATTTTTAAGTAACAAGTGTAAATTACAGTGATAATTTTTCTCTCTCTCTCTCTTTCGTGTTTTTATGGAATTGCAATCCCTGTTCACTGACGCCATTGACATTTTATAAATTACACGTGGTCTTGTGAGATTCTCGGTTGATCGACTTTGATATTTAAGTTGCTTCGCTAAAACTAACCTTTGTTAAGTCAATAACTCGGCACGTAACCCATCATGCACGCAAATGGCTTAAGAGCCGCTATCCTCGGTCGGTCTCCCTCGCTGATTTAACAGTGCCAAGTTCTCTGAATCTGTAATGAAATTTAAAAAGAAAAAAAAAAAAAACACATCGTCAGAACATCTCGTACTGGAAATAGTTATTCAACAAAAGTCATGCTGTAGGAGAAAAGATAATCTGAAATGACCACAACCATTTAGATGTGCGTTATATGTTTGCACCTTTAAAATTCAGTGTTCGACTGAATCAACACAAACATACTTTGAAACTTTGTAAGATCATCACAGAAAAGATGCCTGTATGAGTACTGATATGAAAAACTTATTTACCCTAGCATTGGGCGGTTTTAATTTCTGAAGCTGTTTTCCAGGGAAGTGTCCCATTGAAATACATCAGACAAGGAAGTTCGGCTTTAACTTGTGTCGCTGTAATCAAGCTACCCAGTGTTTTTACGCGGGTTGATTCTTCGTTACCAATAACCTAAAGCCTTAAGACAAGGACTCTTTAGCTTTCGAGTGCTTGTTTGCATTATTTGGCGAACAAGACAAAGAACAAGAATGCTGGTGTAAAATTGAATCAAAAATCTATTTGATTCGTTAAGTAACCTTTGAGCTAACGAGAGCATCATGGCTCTTTTTCATTCCACGACGGACTATCATTTTCTCTATTTACGAGGCTTCCAGACGAAAAATTGAAGGAAAAATAAACTTTATGATGAAAAAAAATTATTACTTGTACCTTTTGAGATGGATTTGATTTGAGGCAAAGTGGATGAAAGCAAAGCTGAAATGTTCGTGTACGCCTGTCTCATAACGAGTACTGACTTCCGAAAGTACTACATAGCTTATTTTAATAATTCGCGACATTTCCCCGCAGAAACACTTCGTGATTGCTAACCTCTCATCTAGAAACAAATGATCAGTGAGATTCAGTTATGGAGACTCGAGAAGGAATGGCCGATGAGGAAGTCTAAGGAAACACTCGAAATACTAAATTTTTCTCAAGTTTACAAAGAAAAATCGTTCTTATGTCTCATAAAATTTAAAGAAAAAAATTAATAAAGGTCTTAATGGTCTAACATCTTTCCAGAGGTTGTAAGTGACTTTTATGAATGGCAAAATTTGTCAGATTTTCTATATTTGTCAAGAGAGTTTCAAAGAGATAGGATAGTTTACGAGTCGACTCAGAACTTTCACTTCCCAACAAGTGTAGTTTAAAGCATATATTTAAAATATATTCAAATACATAAAAAGGTATAACTATAAGGGATTTATCAGGTCCTTTTGAGGAATTAATCAAATTTAACAGAAAGCGACGAATTTTCATGTATAATTTTTAAGGGAAAACGTTGCGTGCATTTGCCTTGCAAAATTATTGTCAGTAATTTCTGGTCGTAATTCAAGAAGCGTTGCGAATTGAATAAAAATCCATGATGAATATATTGAATGATCATCACCATAACCAGGTAAAAGAAAGCTAGATATGACATTAGTACGTTGTCGATTGTTGCCTTTTAACTTGGCTAATGCAAATTAGATTCAAATACATAAAGAGGTATACCAATACCAAAACCAATAACGTAGCTCCATTCTCTGCCTTTAAAAGCCCACACAACCCACAATTCCTCTATTCCCTGCGACGAAGGGCTAAGGCTCGAAAGGACAGCTTTTGTAATCGTTACGGCGGCCAATTTACCATTTCAACTTCGTTGATATAACCAAGTTATAATGCCAATTAGGAGGACTTCAGAGAGGTCCCTCTTTTTCTGACAATCTCCCACAGAAGCATCCTACATTTTAAACAATACACCGCACTGTCAATCGGTTTATCGGCATAATAACGCCCTTGGTTCGTTTGGAGATCAAGAGAAAACTTTGTAACTGAAATTGAACACGAGCTGAAAGCGGGTGTTTTCCTTCCGATTTCCTTCCCTTTTCCTTCCGCATGCATATCTGCCATGAAGCACTCTCTCCCCCCCTCCTTTTTCGGTGCTCCATGTATGGTTATCACACCCTTGGCGCACGTTTATAGGACGTTTATAGTTGCAATAATTAGCTTCCCGAGGCCCGTGCTCGTTAAACTACCAATCAAATCGTGTGTGTCTTCATTTATTTGTCTAGAACTGGACATGGAAGAGAGGAAAGAGACTCCGGTAATCACTCCATCCAAATCTGTAGAGTCCTATGAGGTCAAAATCAAGGAGGAACCAGTAAGCCCGGAAGACTTTGAGAAAGACCAGTGCTCAGATGCTGAAGAGAACCGCAAGAGATCTTACAGTGTTGAAGAAAGAGAGCCCGAGTTCGAGCGTCGAAAGGTACCACGTCTTTCCCCCCAAAGGATAGAAACGGAGGCATTTAAATCTTCTTTAGAACTTCTCCAGCGGATTTTTCCTGATCAAAGCAAGGCCATTCTGGAGCTTATCCTTGGGGCTTGTGAAGAAGATGTGGTCAAAGCTATTGAGTCTCTTCTACCGGAAAACAGTCAAAGACCATTTAGCCTACCTCTTTCCATTAGGAGCTACGGATCTACTTCCTTTATCCCCTGCGACGGCAATCCTAAGTCAGCGTTCTCTCCCATCCCCAAGTCTCCGTCCTACATGTTTCCAGGAGCTCTTGCAGCGCAATCGCAGTCGTTGAAGAGTCCGAATGAAAAAAGCCCCAGCACACCTAGCGCATTTCAGCCCGTCCATTCCACGTGCAGCCCACCTGAACGCAGCCCGTCAATGGCGGATAGGTTCCAGTTTCCCGTCGTTGCGGGGTATTTCTTTAACAGGCCTAGCACTTCATCTCTTATCTCGCTTAACCCCGCGCCGCAGAGGAATGGGGCGCCTCAACTGGGTACAAGGTTCTGTAGGCATTGTGGGTACCCGAGCAAATTTGGAGACAAGTTTTGCAGTGACTGCGGCAAGTCTCTGGAGTGAACTTAATAACGATTTATAGCCTATATCATTTGAACAGCTGAACAGAATTTTACATTATCTTTTCTGAGCCAGATCGATGGAAAATTAATTTTGTTGTCCCAGGATTGCGATATATTAATGGATGCAAAAGACATGCGCATACCGAAAAGAAAGAGGCGGAGTTGGAATTTACCGAGTACGCTTATTGATTCGTGATGAGTGACTTTGTATAGGGCTAGATGAGTATGCGTATTATGCGAACTCGTCTCCAGGCTTCTCTCATAAGGAAGGAGGAGAGAGAACCCTGGATACGATGATTGGTATTAGAATGGTGGTTTTCAATGTGTTCGATAGAATTTGCACGAGAGATTACCCTAAATGACGTGTTTGGCAAAGGAATGCTTATTCCATCTGCAAAATGAGTTTAAGCAGCCATGGCTGTGAAGCGTTATGGGATGTAAAGAGGTGGTTTAATCGCCATCTTTCCAAAATAAATAATTCTCGGTTTATGGTACATTAATTGAACTTTTATTTCCAATTTCGATTTTACGCACTAACTATGAATAAAATCTAGCAAAAAAAAAAAAAACAATAACAATTTGCGTTCGAAACGTGCGAAGTTTTACAACAAAAAATATCACACCTCACTTAACTTTTATAATAGACATATGATTATAAACCGTCGTTGTCCTCGACACATTCCTAGTGGAGTTATTTTTTCTCCTGAACAGCTTTTTGTTTTGTTTTAGTGTGTGTGTGTGTGTGTGTCATGTTTTTTTTTTTGGACAGAACAGCAATATACCTTTGCTGCTTGGAACATACAGGCAGTCTCCATATTCTATTATTGTCCGTTGTGCTAGTTCCAGTGATTTTCGAAAAACTTCATCGCTGTTGCATTAATAAATAAAAAAAATATATATACGATGATGATATGAGGCTGTGTGCCTGGTTTTCACAAAAAAATTCTCTTCAATTCGCAATTTACTTCTACTACAGCTGCCATATTGATATTGAAAACTTCTTTCCATAACACAAAGTTTATTTCACGCTGTTTTTCTCTTCCTCCTCAAGCTCTCTCCTATTTTGACTCTCTACCATTTCTGAAAATGATAATGAAATAGCGTCTGTCAAATCATAAAAAAATTCTACCAGAATCAACGCGTAAGGTCAAAGAAAAAATTTAAACCTTAAAAGCAGAAAAGCTGATTCTTTAGGTCCCAGAAAAATCAGCTTAGACGTCGCGCGAGCCAAAAAAGGCCAGAAAAAAAAATCATGTTCGCGGGCCGCGCGAACTCTGGGGACGAAGCGCACGAGCACTCGCGCTGCGCGCTGATATCACTTTTTCCGTTGATTTGTTTTTGATTCGCACGACCGACTTTACTGAAAAGAGGGGACTGATCGTAATCTAAAACCAACTTGATCGGTGCAGTTTGTACTCTTCAATTATGAAAAGAAAAAAAATAAAAGAAAAAAACCAAGACTTTGTTTTTAGCCATGCATGCCTGTGTTGTAACAGTATCAATTTACTCACCATCACAAACTTTATCCCTGATTTTTCCCACCCTTTTCTTCAGCTTACTAAATGTGCTGACACTAATGACGTTTTCCGGGATCGATGCCATTAACAGCAACTCCTCCACGTCCACCTCGTCACCAATCCCCACCACCACCATGGTCACCTCATGTCTTTTCAAGGCCATAGACGTGCGCGCCACAGCCAGGGCGTTGTCTGATTTCCCATTACTCATAACCACGAGAATTTTCGGTACCTTAGTTCTCGATCCTCCCTTTTCTGTAAACAGGCCCGTACGCGCCAGATCCAAAGCTAACTCAGTTTTTGTTTCTCCACCAACGTAATTCATATTGTCGAGTGTTTCTTTGAGAAGGGGTACATTATTTTTGGCACTGAATTGAAAATCAAAAATCACGTCCGCTTGTGAGGAGTAGCGGATGACAGCAACACGCGTGTCGTTGTTTGAAATTGGAAAGTTTCTGATTACGGACCACACAAATTCTTTAGCTTCTTGAAAGTTTCTTTCGCCGACAGATGTCGAAGAATCGACCATAAATGCTAAGTCTGTTTTACCAAGACACACTATGAAATAGGAAAATAAAGTGGTGAGGCTCTGATCAGAGAAATGAACGTGTGCCAGAAAAGTTCGAGTCGAAGCTTACTGACAGAGTTCCCAGAAGAAAACTTATCAAACAAAATTCTTGTCTTTTGTAACCGATGTTCTCACGAAGCCCCATCGTACAACTGCAAATTTGTTATAGCAGGAACTGCTCATTTAAAAAAAAATCGAGAGACTGTTTGGAGAACATGCAAGAACTTGAAAAAACAACTTTGTTCGTTTATATATTTTAAGCGACAAGTTTACAAGTAAGCTTCGATTTACTACACTTGCCCCAATTTCTCTGGGACGAGTAAATCAAACCGAAGCTCAAACGGGGACATTCACCAACACTTACGCCTTGTTTTGCACACGAAGGGATTTTCCATCACACAACTCTCGTCACTCCATTTCCCCCAATCAGGATCAGAACGAATAGCTACACAGTCTTCTCTGTGAAGTTTAGAGAAGTGAGAAGGCTCGCCAGGGGCCCATCTACACAAGAAAATAAACAAGCGGAGAATTGATTTTAAAAAGGTAACTGACCAGGGTAATGGTTACCTTTAAAATCAGCTGTGTTCATTCATTGGAACGGCCTGAATTCGAAAAGTGTATCAGCGAGCACCAGGATACCAGCTAATTGCAGTTCTTTTATATAAAAATTTCAGATCAAAAGAGCAAAATGGAAAAAGTTACCTTACTTATCCTCTTTAATTTCTTTATCATCCTTCGCATTCTTCTGTTCGATTTCTTTCCCTATTCAGGCTAGTTACTCTTCAGTTCGTGCTAAAAATTTTCACTTTTCGCATTTTAACCAGCCCTTTATTTCCTTTCCTTCCCCATTCTCCACCCTCTTTAACTTTTATTGATTCGTTTCCCTCCCATCTTTCTCCAGCCCTCCTGTCTTTTCCTTCTCTTTTCTTTCACTATTTTTTCGTCTTTTGTTGCTTGACTTTGATTGTCTCTAAATCACGAATTTCCACTTTTCTCCTTCTTCGATTTTTATACATTTGTTATTTTTCTTACCTCTGGAAAGTAACAGGTAGTTTCTTATGGGACCATTCGTACTCTCCTTCATGCCCAAAATCCGAAGCTCCGATCCATAGCTTTCGGAAGCCGATTACTTGACGAATTATTCGGATTCTGTCGGTAACCCATCGACTCTCTTTCCGAGATCGGATATTTAGCAGATGACCTTTCTCCATTTCCGAGCAGTACTGCTCCGCCTCTGTCCAACTCAAACCGGTCCACGGCAGAGGGAAGAATTTGTAAATGTGATTTCCCCATTCCCAACCTGCAATTCACAAAGCATTCATAAATGAGAATTGGTCCTTAAAGATAAGATATCCACATTTATTTGCGTCTAAACAAATGACTAAGAGAAATCTTGCAAAGCAGAGGAATAATCCCCACCACGCATACTTTTCCTTAAGAGCGCACGATCGACATGTAACCCGTCAAAGCTCGAACACAGTTGGAAAAAAATTAGAAATGTAGTCTCCTGTTAATTTTATTGCACATGAATTTGAAAGCTCTTACTGTATCCAAATCTCTTTTTCTCCATGATTCTTGAAGGTGGTTCTGCAAAAAGAGAAATAATTTCCCATTAACAGAAAGCTAAAAATTGTCACATACTAAATCTGACCATTTGAAGGACCCAGTCCTCCTCAGCTGGTTGTTCAAAGCTGAGTTAAGATAATTCGGGGTTAGTGTGAAGTTTGATTTTAGATCTGAACTTTTGAAAAATAAATCCAGTTTAATTTTTTTTGTCTACAATTTTATGACAAAAGGGGAAAATTATCTCAAAACGGCCTTCAAACAGAGAGGTATAGAAACCTGCATTAAAATTCAACCCTGGGTTAACGCTAATCGGCCTTCGAACATCTGGCATAAGCCTGTTGGCTTTTTTCGCCGTATACTGCTAGGAAGATTTTTTTTTCAAAGATTTGCGAACGTCTCCCATGATTTGCGCCTTGATTAATATTTTGACACGATTTGGCCTTCCATTAGTAGCATATTTTTACGATAATGAAAAATATTAAAATAATAGTAATAGCAACATTAACTTCTACCCCAATAGGATTAGTAGCAAGGTAGGGTAGAAGGTTTGAACTCGGGATACCAGATTACTAGTCCAGCGCCCTAACCCCTCACCACACTGCGATAAGATCTTCATGATCCTAAGTTATGGAACTGAATGCCAGCGCTGTATAATGCTTTAGAAAAGTGCGGAAGGAGATATCGACGTAACGTGACCTGATACGAAACCCTCTGACAACTGAAAATTGCGTTATGCAACCCCACCAAGCATTCCTCGTTTTTTCGCTTCGCTGCTATTGTCGTCTAACCCCTCCCACATTGTATATCAGAAAGCCATCACCGTGGTAACTTACCCTTTGACTTGCAGATGTAACCATGTGCCTTGAAACAGTCCTCCACGTACCATCTAGAGCCTTCACCTTCAAACTCAAGAAAGACACAGAAGGGGTAATGTACATCCTGGGGTCTCCATGGCTGTCCGGGCGCCCAGGGAACAACATTATACCGTAGGGGTTCCCCGTCAAGGAAATCCCACACATCGTTAATCCTCTGGTCATTCCCTCCAATCCAAAGCCTGACTTTGGACCGCGGATCTCGCACGGCGTTTTTTATCACGCTATTTACCCATTCTATCTCTTTGTTTGTTACAAGGCTTGTCAAATGGCCATTTTCATGCGTTTTACAAAGCGTTTCCGCTTCGTACCAAGTTCGAGAGTCATCCTCAGGAAATACAAACTTGTAAAAGTAGTTGTTGTGTTCGAAGACTATCAGAGAAAAAAATACGCTTTGATTAGTAGATTTAAGAATAAATATTAGCGAGAAAAACACAACGTTTCGATGACTCCATGTCATCATTCTCAAGTGAGAAGAGAATAAAAATGAATAGTTAATTTATACCGTACGACGGTGACAAACGTAAAAAGTTAAATTTTTTTTGTTGTTGTTAAATTTAAATAAATAATTGCGCGTGTTGAGTTCGTAAATGTAAACTATTAAATAAATAGTATCGCGCGTATGGAATCCGATTGTTTGTTCAAATAGGGCTTCATCTTCTTTATGAAAAGCATTTCATGAACTAAACAGTCCAGTTTCCCGGTGCACTTTTTAAGTACGTTGAAATGCTTGGTCAGGTCGCCGATGGTTTGTAGGCCGTGGTCGTTCTTTAGATGTTTGCCGATGGCCGAATTACGGTGCTCATTAATACGTTGATGTAAATGCCGGCTGGTGTACCCGACGTACTCTGCATCACACAGATCACATTTATAATTATATACAACGCATTGTTGGCTAACTATAGGAGGTTTAGGCTCACGTACTCTGAGATCTTCACAGATTTTGCGACTCTTGAACACGGGATGAAGGGTGTGATCGATTTTGTTGCTTAGATCTGATAATTGCCTTTTCACTGCGTCAGCTGACTTTTGATCTTTAAAAGGCAAAACCACTCGGTGAACAGCATTTTCGTTGACGGATAATTGAGCTTGCACTCCAGGGTTTTCCGACCTAACTGAGGTGACAAAGTGAGAGATGGTGGAATTGATGAGGTGGTCGGGATACTTGAGGTTTGTAAACATCATCTTTAGATGATCACATTCAGATTTGAAGGACTCCCATGTGGACGACAGGCGGAATGCACGATTCAACATGGTCTTAAGTAGTGATTTCTTGTACCTTTTATCGACGTGGCTCTGGTGATGAAGCAATAGGCCTGTGTTTGTTGGTTTCCGATAAACACTAGTTTCTAGTTTACAGCCTTTCTTGAGCACTTCCATACCGACAAAAGGTAACTTGTTTCCAGATGCTAGCTCCATGGTGAAGTGTATGGACGGATGGCAGTTATTTAGCGTTGATAATAAATCTTCTGCCGCTGGTACACTTGTGACAATAGCAAACGTGTCATCCACGTACCTTCTGTAAAATTCAGGGAGCTTGTTGTCTTGATCTAGTTTCTCTTCGATAGAACAGAGAAATGCGTTTGCCATAAGTGGGCCCAATGGAGAACCCATGGCCACACCGTCGATCTGCTCGTAAAGATTGCCATCAAATTGGAATAGTNAACTGGTTTAATACTACACACGACCTCAGCATTACAAAGCCTGAACTGGTTCAACTTCTAGAAGTTGCAACTATGAATCAACTATTCCAATTTGATGGCAATCTTTACGAGCAGACCGACGGTGTGGCCATGGGTTCTCCATTGGGCCCACTTATGGCAAACGCATTTCTCTGTTCTATCGAAGAGAAACTAGATCAAGACAACAAGCTCCCTGAATTTTACAGAAGGTACGTGGATGACACGTTTGCTATTGTCACAAGTGTACCAGCGGCAGAAGATTTATTATCAACGCTAAATAACTGCCATCCGTCCATACACTTCACCATGGAGCTAGCATCTGGAAACAAGTTACCTTTTGTCGGTATGGAAGTGCTCAAGAAAGGCTGTAAACTAGAAACTAGTGTTTATCGGAAACCAACAAACACAGGCCTATTGCTTCATCACCAGAGCCACGTCGATAAAAGGTACAAGAAATCACTACTTAAGACCATGTTGAATCGTGCATTCCGCCTGTCGTCCACATGGGAGTCCTTCAAATCTGAATGTGATCATCTAAAGATGATGTTTACAAACCTCAAGTATCCCGACCACCTCATCAATTCCACCATCTCTCACTTTGTCACCTCAGTTAGGTCGGAAAACCCTGGAGTGCAAGCTGAATTATCTATCAACGAAAATGCTGTTCATCGAGTGGTTTTGCCTTTTAAAGATCAAAAGTCAGCTGACGCAGTGAAAAGGCAGTTATCAGATCTAAACCCGTGTTCAAGAGTCGCAAAATCTGTGAAGATCTCAGAATACGTGAGCCTAAACCTCCTATAGTTAGCCAACAATGCGTTGTATATAATTATAAATGTGATCTGTGTGATGCAGAGTACGTCGGGTACACCAGCCGGAATTTACATCAACGTATTAATGAGCACCGTAATTCGGCCATCGTCAAACATCTAAAGAACGACCATGGCCTACAAACCATCGGCGACCTGACCAAGCATTTCAACGTACTTAAAAAGTGCACCGGGAAACTGGACTATTTAGTTCATGAAAAGCTTTTCATAAAGAAGATGAAGCCCTCTTTGAACAAACAATCGGATTCCATACGCGCGATACTATTTATTTAATAGTTTACATTTATGCACTCAACACGCGCAATTATTTATTTAAATTTGAAAAAAAAAAAAAAAAAAAATTAACTTTTTATGTTTATCACCTTCGTACGGTATAAATTAACTATTCATTTTTATTCTCTTCTCACTTGAGAATGATGACACGGAGTCATCGAAACGTTGTGTGTTTTTCTCGCAAATATTTATTCTTAAATGTCTAACAAAATCTAATGTCATTCGATTAGTAGATTGATGTCAATATAGTCATATCCAAATTAAGCTGAATGAATTTGCACTCCAACAACACGACAAGTTTTGCCACCACTCTAATAAACAAATTAAATGTTTATTGTCCTCCTTAACACTATGAAAAGTGGTAGCCACAGCCCTGTCTCGATGGGCCCTTTAGTTTGTTCAAGTGGAGCTTTAAGCCCCCTCCACATACTAGACGTATGACAACGCAAAATTTAGTTTTTGTAATTTACTGTCCACACTAATATGGGAAACGAACATATTCCTAGAACTTCAAAATATTTCATTCTTGAGAATGAAAGAGTTCGGAAGCGAGCCGGAAGACCAGAAGTCACGTGACTTGATTGGGTAATTCGATAAAAGTAAGATACAAATCGTGTGCATAATCCTGTTTTCAACAACTTCATATTATATCCGGAAACAAAGCTGGTATAATACAAATCTTTCCCCAAACACGCAACCTAATTGATCCTAAACGAGATTAGTCACGGTATTTGATGACATTATCTTATTTCATTTGTCTGTTAAAAGACCAGTCACATTCCAGCGAAACAGGTTTACTTGAAAGAACATCCGATTTTGTCCATCTCTAACGCTTCAAAAGGTAAGTGGTGATGATTTTCCCTCTGTTTTAAAAGGTCTTTTACAGATATTGCTGTTGATACCGTAGCTACCAGGCAGTAGGGCTACGTTCAATACCCGGGGAGGGTGGTATTCGATAAAAATTGTCATGGATGCTGGTCGGAAATTCCGATTCTACGCAACACAATTTTAGGATATCGATATTTCAACTTCCTTTCCATTCAACTCTCAGTGGAAAAAAAAAAGATGTCCGTGTTTTTTAAAAAATATATTGAGTTTTTTCCGATTCGTATCCTAATCAATTATTGAGACAACAAATTCTTATTTGCCTGAAAGCGCATCGATGTGTATTCCCCTGGATTATAACAGGAAAGGCCCCGCCTCTGATCCTTTCATCCCTGCGGCCTGTGTCCACCTGTGTTACGTCACCCAGAGCCACAGGATACCCAAGCTCATGAAATGAAAGGTCGTGAACGTGACTCCACTTGACGTAAGAGGAGTTTGAGTTATAAAGCTCAGGAACTAAACGGAAAGCTCACCGAAAAAACCTTTAGATCGGAGTGAATAACAAAAATTATTACACGACTCGGGCAGTCAGCGGGCCAATAACTAGAATCAACCAATCAAAATGCTCTATTGCCGGTCAATATTTTCTCAGTATTGGACCGGGCACTGTCCCGAATGGTCCCGAATGATACCGCACTTGTGTCCCTTTGAACTTCAGTCGTATAATAAATCTCTTATTAACCAAGCTTGCTCGGGACCGTACTGGAAGAATATCGGCCCTCGGTCTTTTTTGTACGGACCGAGCTGCGCTCGGTCCATACTGTCAAGACCTCGGGCCGATATTCTCCCAGTACGGCCCTCGCGCTTGGTTAATAAGATGTATGTACAAAAATGAAGGAAGGTAATCCAATTTCATTTCACAGGGATTGCATTTTGAACTATTTCCCTTTGAGTTTGCATACAAGCATTCTCGTAACACAAAACTGCGCACTGGCATGAGTCGTGTTCATGTTCGTTTCATGTCATGAACTTATCGAAGGCCTGTTTTTAAGACAGGTCATGTCCGGGAACACCAAATCACCGATGATTCCCCCTTTGTCTGGTTTTTGTCAAGAGAGCATTTACGTAAAACGCATGCTGTTAAAAGTCCATCCTTAAGTGAATTGCGATGTTCCTGTTTTCAATTACTTGAGGTGAAATTTGTCATCACTCTTTCAGTGAGCGCTTATAGAACTCTGATATTAAACTTTATTGTTCGGCACAATATAATGAGACAGCGCCAATCGCCCGTAATCTGAGAAAAGCTGTGTGTGATAGGATCTAACATCAGCATCAGGCGCGTAGATCAGTGCAGAAGTCACGACGAAAAGTGAATCGGAATGAAATCCCACCTTTTAAACTCTCCAACAGGGCTATTGCGAAACTTGTCTGAAGTAGAGTATTTCCCAGCTACCTGAGTATTTCCATACAACATTAAATTTAACACAATGGTAGGGGAGGGGATAATCCTGTGGTGCAAGCTTTGCAGTCCGACCCGCAGCGTCCCACCGCTGGACGAAAGGCAGGAGGGCACTTGTCGAAAGTTTGGACACGGTGTGCCAAAATCGTCGCTCTATTGATGACATACCTTTTCATTTTGTTCTAGTGTTCAATACGTGCTTTTTTTTTTTTTAATCAAACTTGCAAACTCTCTGTTTAGGCTGTTAAAATAGCATAGTCTCGTAAACGACATGGGGATGGACCCTTAAAATGATAAGTTATTAAAGCTAACAGACCGCGAAAATCGGTGACGAAGCTACCCCCGGAGGTAATGGCATTTATGAGGTTCTTATCATCGGCATACGAGCAACTAATAAAACGAATCGGCAACAGACCTGTTGTCTCGCAATTCACACTCTTGTGTTTAAACAGTCGATCATCACTCCTGTTCAAGCTTTTTAGGAGAAAACACGCACTACGAAGACCACTTGACGATGTTAAGGAAAACCACGAATAACGATTTTCACGCGAGACCGCAACGGTAGGAGAGCGAGGAGGCTTTCAAATCTTGGCGAAACGTTAAGGAGGGATTTTTTTTTTCGGATTTTGTAAGTGGCTACGTTTTTGTCTAATGTACGTGGCGACCGGCAAAATAAAAATCCTCATTTTGGGTTTATAGAACTCGTTAGCGAACACCAGTTTTGTCCCTTCTAATAATGAAATACTTCGCAGTTAACGAGGTTCTCGTTAGAATATTTGTAAAAGATAATACTGTATTTGACATGATTGTGTGGTACAACAACCTCCAGATTTTTCCCGCTAACGAAAGGGTTACTTTATCGAAGCTTTATACTCACTGTTGTGGTTAGTTTAAGACAAGTTTTTCATTATGTTTTGATAATAAATTCCTGCGCTATAATCTTCAACTTCGGAGTCTTGTTACATATTTAATGTTTTGACCTAAATGCTGTCATTTACCCTTGATTTTAGGAGGAATCCTAGTTTAAATGTACGATATAAACACCTTTTATGACGGAATTAGAAACTTTTGTCGTGTATGACTGATTGATAGACGCCTGATTATCCTAGATCAAACAAACAGCAGCCATGAAAAGAATTCACGATTGAATCCAATGGAAGACAAAAGCAGTCATCGTTATCTTGACAAGATCGAAAAGTACAATGAAAGATGAACACAGTCACTCAGAGTTCCTCGCATAAGAAAACAGTCAAAAATTCAAAGCATGAACATACCGTATCCGGGAGAGCTGCGAATTGAACCAGGGAACAATGAAAGTAGACACAAAATCACTACTAGAGCGCAGCGATGAGGACACGACATTTTCCCGGCGTATCTCCCTTGTTCAATATTCACTATAAGCTTTAGTTTGCCAACTGTGAGAAGTCATTCATGATCGTGACAGGGGCGAGGGTCAATCGCCACTCCCTGTGGTCAAATTGACAGATTTCATCCGACAGTTCCGGCACAAATTTTGGAATTCAGCTCCTTTGTTGTAGATCAGGGAAGCTGGCAAGAAGAGGAGGAAGGGATTGAGTGGGGGAGGGGAGGTTAGAGGAACTCTCATGCAGGAAAGCCATATCAATGCTAGAATTGAAATTTACGGAGCATATTTGAAAATGGAGATGGGGCAACTACGGAGAAAAGGCAGGGAAGAACTCCCGTAACAAAGAAATGGCAACGCTGGAATGGTTACTGACGGATCTTGCAAGGGTCACGGTTTAAGAACTTAATTACGCTTAGAGTTTCGAATTTTGTCATTTGTATCAGTGATTCTCTTCTTCCCTGACCGTCCTCTTTTTTTTCTAAAATTTGTCTTATTTCATTGGTTCTTTCTTTCCAAACTGTCAGTTTTTTGTTTCCCTTTAAGTGGAAGTAACATGGTTCGTCGCAAAAACGACTCTCATTGCATGACATTGTCCTCTTCAAGCATCTCCGACCTGTAACTTCCCTTCCCCCCACACCCTTCCTTCATTTTCACCAATTCTACACTGAAAGAGTTGCCTGAATTTCAGTGTAGAGTTGTTGAAAATGGGGGGGGGGGGGGGACGGCGGAACGTCAGGGCGGTTGAAAGTGGGAGATAAGACTCATGGGAGAGGGGGGAGGGGAAATACAAGTTCTCCCCAAGGTTCCCCCGTAAGAGATACCGGGCTCGCTTGTTATGTCGATTAAAACAGAAACACTTATTCTAGACTATTGCATGTGGTTGAGTTTAGGGGAAGGGTTAAGCATTTCCGGCTTACTGGAAGAATAAGCACGGAAAGGGGCGCAACTAAGTTGGAACCGAAAATAGACAGAAAAAGAGGCAAAAACACGTCGTTCACTAACCGTAGAAGCTTTTTCACTGAGATTTGCAGCGATGTAGAGCATAAGGTCTGGAAGTAACACGATGACGCCTGCGGCAAAGAATAGTCTTTCTTTTTAATTCCTTTCTTTATCGCATCATCGATCATATATTAACTGGATAAGAAAAGGAAATAAAAGAATCCTGTTCCAGAGAAAAGAAGAAATTTTTAATTGGGGCACGTGCAGTTTAAAATAGGTCGTGGAAACTTTCCTTAGTTTGAATGACAACCGCTTCACAATTAAACACTTCGATCAAAAGTATAACTTTTTTGATTGACGCTGCCAGTAAGAACACAACCTGAATGATATGGTGGCGTTCAGGTTTGTATTCAAAAAGAGATATTATAAATACCGGTAATATCTCTATATATAGTAGCCATGTCTCAGACACGTGTGTATCAATTTTCCACCACTCTAATCCAGCTTTTAACGGATTTCAGTTCAAACGGCTTTTCCCTATCAAGTTTCAACCACGACTGGTGCAAACTCCTCCGGCTCGTTCTCAAAATCCCAGTTGAATCGTTTGGTCAAATGAAGCCGGAATCGTCGAGCTTTGTCCACTAACTTTTTATCCGCTGACGTCGAACTCTCCAGGTTGGAGAAAAACATCTGGATGATCAATAAAGCAAAGAGTGAGAAAAGGGGAATGGAGAATAAAAAATAAGGTTGCGCGGGGAAATGTTGACAAGGCGAAAACGAAACAAAGCAAGACTAAACAACAATAGCATAAACAACATCGACTTAAGATAAAAACAATACAAACGACAATCAAGTGGGTAACAGGACCCCAGGATTAACAAGATTTTGGCTGAACTCTCCGAAAAAAAGATGCTTAATACAGTCTAATACAAGATTATGTTAGGGATGAAAAGTGTTGTGTTACATCTTTAATTCTGAGATACAATGAAATATATGAAGTTCATATATTTTGTACTGCGGTATTAGATACATATGCACGATCCTCGCAGTAGATAGCGCTATTTAAGCAATAGCGAAAATCAGACCTGAAAAAAATCAGGCCTGTACGGGATTCGAACCACTGACCTCTGTGATACTAGTGCAGCGCTCTACCAATTGAGCTAACAAGCCAACTGGGAGCAGGCCGTTAAGTTGATTCGTAATAAACCCGTGAAAGTGATAAATGAGATACAATTTTCCATACAACAGTTTATAAAATTAAAAAAATGGGAATAATCAAAAGGCAACTTGTGTACGCGTTTTAAAGAGTCGAGCGTGAGAACGAAGTCGCGAGAGGCTTGGGACGGAAAACAGGTTTCCCGCTCGAGGCTAGCCTACAGTGCCGGCGTATTTTGGGCGCACGAGTGCACATTTTTCCACTTAACACCTACTCCCTCGGCAAATATTTCCTTGCCCCAATCCTACACAGTTACCAAATCTAAGATGGCGGCCTAATACGAAAATGTGCACTCGTGCGCCCAAAATACGCCGGCACTGCAGGCTAGCTCGAGGCTTCAGCCTTGTCGATTTTGAAGCGCACACAAAACCGCTAGCTAAAAAAAAAAAAAGTGAGTACTATTTCAGTTATCGCTGTACAATCTGATCCATTCTGAGGTCCCCCTTGATTTTTGCTAAAGTGAGATATATAGTAAGGGAGACGTGTGGACAAGCCCAAATTCCAATTTCCCTCCCATATTAACAATAAAATGAATCTGCATTCCGTAGACACCTCTTTTAAGTGGGCATGGGCACCAAACACTTCAATACCATTAAAACTGTATTGAGCCGTCAGCTTAAAGAGGAACTTGAAGATCAGAATAAAGCTTAATTATTTTGCAGGGATAATCGGTGTATCTATTTGGAACAAAGTTCATTACTGCATTAGATCCCTTAGTAAATCCAAATTCTTTAAGACTATTTTACACAAATACATCTCGATACCCAAGAGCTAAAGGAATTAAAATCCCTCAATTGATTAAATACTTAATACAGTACCTTAATAGCTTGTAAGAAATAATTACTCAGGCTTAACTTCAGTTTTTTATTTATCTGTTAAGTTTCTTTCATAGTTGATGCATTTATATGGCTTTTTGCTGAGTGTCTGGGTTTAGTAATCGCTTCCCTTTGTAAATTTCTTTCCTTCCTGTAAAGAAATATCATTTCTCCACTGCTTTGACTAGCCTTTTAGGCCATTAGCAGTGAGAGATAACCTACAACTTATGTATCTATTTATTGAATTTATTATTAGCCGTCCTTTTAGTGAGCTACAGTATTAAAGATGAGTTACTGGTTACTGGTTACATATTATTTCACTTCTAAAACTTTTTAAATTCTAGTTGACACATGTCATTCTATCGACTTGAAAGGGCTAGGTTCAAAGGCTAGCAAAATATTCATTTTGAGTCATTCTTAATATCAAGCCTCCCCAAGATGTCCCATCGTCTGAGCTGTTCTACAAATTAAACTGGATGACTATAAATCAATGCATAGAATACTTTACTTCTATATTGATGTTCAAAACCATTAATAAATCTAGCCCTAATTATCTACAGAATAGGTATGAGTGTGTTAAAGACAAACATCAAATCAATACAAGATCAGCCACAAACAGAAACCTGTTCATACCTAAGCTATCTTCTAAGACTGGACAAAGATCTTTCCAATACAGAGGTGTACACGCTTGGAACAGTTTATCTGTAGAAGCTAGAGACTATAGCCTAGAACAGTTTAAAAAATATGTAGCTGGAACTGTTTGTAAATAAAATATTCTTCCTGTAATTTTTAATTTTTAATCTTCGATCAGTCTTTAAGTCCAAGGAAATTTTAGTAATGTAGATAGAGGACCACCCTAATTAACTTAGTGTTAGCTGGTGATATCCTCTGTAAATATTGTTTTTATTATTATTATTATTATTATTATTATTATTGTTATTATTGTGACATTGAAATCGCAGCTGCCAAGGGAGCCATTGACATTGTTTAATGACTTTTAGCAGCCTTGTATATAGGGTTCTAGATTTGCCATTCACCTTTCTCTTTTCTGTATAGTTTTAGATATGCTTTAATTTACTTATCAGAGTATTAGACTTTGAATCTGTTCAGATTTGACTCCGTCATTTATACTTTTCCAGACACTTTGACATTAAAAGATAAAGGAGTAGATGTGAGCCGAAAGTGAGTTATTTTGGATCATTTTTTACGCTGTTAATATTCTGTATTGTAGAGGAATTTATGGAAATTATTGCTAAATAAAGATCATATCATGCTTTGTTAAGTGCATTATTATTATTATAATTAGTATCCATTTCAAGATTACAACCTATTTTCCCTCAAGCAGTTTACTAAAGCCGTATACAGATGATACTGGCCAGTGTGCTAAGGGTCTCTGCTTCAACAGGTTTTCACTGTTAGTAATTATGTCTCTTTACAAAGGAAATGTTATTAATTTTACTCTCACCTGCAAAGTTGTGGTAAGGAAATTATTGGATGACACTATGTCCACAAAGAAATCTTTTGGAATTTCTTGCACTTGAAAATGTAACACTCCTGAGCAAAACAAAGCAAGGTGAGAACTTAATAAAAATATAGAAGTATACAAAGTAAAACAAAAAACAAAAAAACAACAACAAAATAACAAAACAACATTATTGCACTTGTGGGATGTGGTTATTGAAGTGGTGTAGGGAATGAAACCCTCAGTGACTTTTGATACAACATCAATTTCTCCTTTTGTTTCACAAAGGAATACAAGATTGTTTGAAAGGAAAAATCCAGTAATTAATCAGGAATCCTCTAGGGCAGACAAGCAATGAGAAAGGAGAAAAATATCAATCGGGTTTTATCAACTGATCCAATAGCAAATTCTCCAAAATAACGTTATAAGAATTGTATAGCAGACAGTGAGCAGAACTGCTAATGAGATCTTGGGAGTGACAGAATTGAATCCAGTAACCTGACCATTTTACACCATTGTAGAGAATTTAGCCATTATTCTTTCCCAGATTATAAAAAAAAAAAAATACTCTTAAATTAATTGGTATACTCTTTGGCAAACTCAGTGATAAAACAGGCCTTACCTATGAGGACATCAAATATATCACTGTACATTGACAAAGCTTCATCGCAGGCACACAGCAGATTAAGAAGTCTTTTCCAGTGTTCAAATGCATCATACACTGCCAAAAATACAAAAAAATTAGTTCATGACTACTTTATGTTACTCTCTGGTTTATATTGATTTCACAAAAAAATTAGTTCATTACTATTTTATGCTACTCTCTCAGGTTTATATTGATTTCACAGCTTTTTTTTTTATACTTCTCTGAGACTTAAGATTCAGAAATCTTGTAAGTCCAAAAAACAATTCAAAATTAAAAAAAAGGTCCTTAAAAAATGAGATTTAATTGTGGTGGAAATCACACAGGTTGTCTGTTAATGGGGTGGTTGACAAGAAATCCCTTGACTTTTTTTTTTCTTTAGATTTTACAATGAATATCATAATAATAAAGTGCACCTAAACCCAAACATTTTTTTTTTCACTTAACGAAATAAGCATATTTTTTGGAGTATTTCTGTNATTTTTTTGGGTTTAGGTGCACTTTAGTAAAATAATTGCAAACTTTTTACCTTGGCCAACAAGGAAACACACAAAGGCAAACTGAAGTTCACCAACGATTTCCTTTCTGTCTTGGATGATAAAGAAAGGAAAAAGCAACAAAAAAAAGGAAACAAGAAAGACAAAAATCAGTGCAAACCATAATCAGGTCACATTGCTGTGAAAAGATCCTTTACCCCTCTATACCCTAACAGCAGCAAGGCTGTGGTCTAGCAATGCCTGGTGGCCCCTGGTGCATTACTTTTGCTCTTGGGTGACTCAGGAATCTTAGTTTTTTCATAAGGAGCATAAGCTGGGCACCCTGGATTTCACAGTTTTCAGGGCACTGGGCTCCCTTCAATTTTCCTTAAAGCAGTATGCACATCCTCCATATTGTTCTCAGTAAATTTCCTATGGAAATTACGAGGAGAATTTGTCTAACAATCAAGAGCTTCTTGAGTTCCTGGGTTTATCACTGCGAGGATTGCTTTCATACATTTCATAAACCACAGCACACATATATGATTTCCATATGTTTAAATTCATTGATTTATTACTTAGACGGGTTTAATACAAACCAACATAATGACCACCTCCCAGTTGGCTTGTTGGCTCAGTTTGTAGAGCACTGCACTGTTATTGCAGAGGTCATGGGTTTAAATCCCGTATGGGACTGAATTTTCATTTTTCAGGCCTTATTTCCACTACTACATAAGGAGGGTTTATTACCGCAAGGATCACTTTCCTGATCTTGTCGTTTAATATTCCTGCGGCATTAATGTTTGACTCAGGAGTGATATTTTTGGGAGATGTAAGATGTTTGTCACTCTTCAGGGTGAAAGGGCTGAAGTAATGTAAGCTTTTAGATTAAGAATTGGATGAATATAGCCGTCAGGTGTGTCCATAGTTTGGGCAAAAACACTCTTACCAAAAAAATTTAGATTCACTTTTAACAAACACAACAAATGTATGAAATTCATATATCTGAACTGTGGTTATAGAAACATATTTGTGCACAATCCTCGCAGTAAAGAGTGCTATTTAAGCAATTCAGGCCTGTACTGGATTCAAACCACTGACCTCTGCAATAATAGTGCAGCACTCTACTAATTAAGCTAACAAGCCAACTGGGAGCAGGTCATCAAATAAGTCCGACATTTAACAGCAGAGCAGGACTGTATAAACAGTTAAAACTCCTTACCCTTTAACTTCCAAGATGTGATTGTTAATTCTTCAATCTATCTGCTACACATTTCCTTGTAAATTAGTGATGGGAAATTGGCGTCAGATCAGGATAATTAACAACTATTCACCGAAGTGGGGGTGGTTAGTGGTGGGTATTTACCAAGCCGCGAAGTGGCGAGGTAAATATCCACCGCTAACCACTGACACTGAGGTGAATAGTTGTTTTAGTATATACTAAAACAGTGAGATAATATACACCACCGTCGTTAATTTGAGTGATTTCTTCACTTGTCACGGATGCAAACCGGGACGCCATTTTTTCCTGAGTTGCTCGGAGGTAAATAGCAAAGGATATTCGGAGTTTGACTAGCCAATCAGAGTGCGCCTTCAAAGCTATCCCCTGTTTTAGTATAATTATACTAACAACTTCTACCTTCAGGATAAGTTTGAGTACTCTCATTACCTGTTTGCTGGATAATGTATGAATCTGATAGGGAGAAGTTACATACTAATCACTAACCTTTCATACCGCTGATCATGTTACCAAGAACATAACTGCTGTCCATGCTGTGTTTGCTAATTTCTGCTGGAGATGCACCCTCAGGGAACTTCTGTTTGGGAATCTCTGAAAATCTTATCACAGCATCTGGATTGTGGGCAATTGAAGAAATGGTGCTCTCACTCATAGAAGGCTTTGTTCTGGTATATGACAGCTCTTGGGCAAGCTCAGTTGCTGAAGAAATCTTTTTGCATGCAGGTTGAAGTCTTTCTAGTAAATCTTCAGTTATATGGTTGGTCAAGGAGACCCATTTCTTTAAGTGTTCATAGGGATAAGGACCAAGAAAAGAATCCATATCTTGTAAACCTTTACATTTCATAGAATGAAATTAAAAACTGTGTTAAAAATGCTGTGATGCTGGAGTATCAGCAAGCACCATGACTACTTGTGATTCCCACAATTCTCTTTCTCAAACTTTCAGCTCTCTATAATTTGCTCAAACTCTACCAAAGTACAGTACATTCGTATTAAAGATAAAGTCTGTACTCAAGCCAAGTCACCCATGCAACCAGAGCTTATTCTGGTTTCTATCAAATGAAACAACTAAAAAATAATTAAAGGCTGATAGTTTCGAAAGAAACTGTTTGGGGCTGTGTCGGTGGGAGTAACAAAATAATTTGGATATATCAACAAAGTTGAAGTGGTAAATTGGCCACCGTAACGATTACAAAAGCTGATGTTTCGAGCGTTAGCCCTTCGTTGGAGCGAAGGGCAAAGGGCTCCGACGAAGGGCGAAGGGCTAACGCTCCAAACATCAGCTTTTGTAATCGTTACGGTGGCCAATTTACCACTTCAACTTTGCTGATATATCCAAATTAAAAAATAATTAAATTTACTCCCCCCAAAATTCCCTGATAATTTGCTTGTACCCAGTTATACTCCTCAGAACAGAGGGCTCTGTAAGAGATATCATAAGTAATTCTCTTTACTGTCTGTCATATGATTCTTATGACATAAGTATAGAGAATTTGGTATTGGATCAACTAACATTCCCCCATCTGATATCTTTCCTTATTCTCATCACTTGTCTGTGTGATGTAATGATATTGTAAGGAGAAATTCCATCTTGGTTACCCATGGGAGTTAAAGGGTTCAGATAGATGCAATAAAATCTACACAGACAATACCTTGTCTATATCTATTTAATTCTTCTTCGCTACAGTCCACTCGGATCACATCTTCACTGCTCGGATCCCATTTCATGACATGGATATCATGACGCTTGGTGAAAAGAAACATGCCCGTTCTCGGAGCGCTTTCTCCCCCACCATCTACTGCGCTGTAGTAAATGAAATGAAGCCCGGCTGGTACCATTTTTACTCCTTTATATCGTGGACCAGCGCTCCATGAGAAGTAATCAATGCCGAATTCGGTGCCTTCGGGAACGTCCAAAACTATCAGGGTTGCGCCTTCTTTATTGAGGCGATTTGCAACTTCAGGATCCATTTCGGCCATTTTAAATGGATTTTTATGTAAAAAACTGCAGATGAGTAATTTAAAATGGGGATAATAACTTGGAAGTAGGCAAGTTTCCCCAAAACAAACTATCCAGCTCAACAAACACTACCAAATCGTCCGCCATGTTGACCGAGGACGGGTATGAAAACTAGCGCCCAGACTGCTAAACGAATGAATCCGGGCCTTTGGATAACCATGTCACGTGACCTGATGACCGAGAAGCTTGTGAGCAATTCCACGAGCGCGCGTTGGATATGAGATAGATAGCTAATGAGGCGCGTAGCACCGAGTTGGCTATGATCATCTCATATCCAATTATTGTTTTACTGGAATTATTGTTTTATTGAAGACATGAAATTAAATTATTAAATTTTATTAAATTTTTTAGCTCCATTTGCTTTGAAGCTGATGCTTACGCTAACCATATTTGTTGTAGATTGTGGTATATTGGCTCATATACCATAATGGCTAAGCCAATAAAAAGTCTTGAATTGCATTATCCAAGGATGCAGATTTTAATAGGGTTAGAAGCTTCTAAGATACTTCAAATTCTTTGTATGAACAAAACTAGATGAAAGAAAAAAAACCTTATGGCAAGTTTGCTTCAATGGTTTGGCTTTTGTTGGAAGAAAAAGAGTTACTGAGACATGCAAAGGCTTGTCAAATGATGCTTTCAGTCAAAATTTGTTGGCATTAACGTGATATAAATGGGAACGAGGAAAGTTGATGGGAGGAAAAATGGAAACTGAGAAGATAGCCCTTGGCTCAAAATTGATATTTTGAGCTGCTATATAGAAGAGTTACAGATTATCAAAATTTTCAAGTAATCAACTTTCAGTATGATTTGTAGCATTTTGCTAAATTAGGTGTCAAATGACAAGGCAGCTTACAACATAATTATACCTGTCAGCACATTTGAGTGACAGTAAGCATAATTGCTATACCAAATACGTCAAGAGGAAAGATTTGACACATATATTTATATAACAACTTTCTTGGCAACTCTTCAAAACATAATTTACATAGTTTGAGCTACACCACCCTTACATCGCAAATTGAATTCTTTACAATTTTTTAAAGATATTTGTCATAATTATATAATATAAATACATTGCATTAAAAGTTCTTTTCGGTAATTATAGATTTCAAAATTTTGAGCTATATTTTTAGGATCCAGTCCTAGAAACAAATTTCTTTTTTTTTAAGTCTTTATGCAACATTAAGACTTTGAAAAGATTTGCAACACCACTTTGCTTCCACAGCTAGACAAAGAAGAAATGACAAGTGGAAGTGTCTATTGTGTAAACAATTTTAAGTAATGACATAGATTAGTGGGTAAAGTGTGCAAGAAATGGTCACCAATTGTGAATCATCCAAAAATACTGAAAAAAAATTGTTGGTTTAATGTATCTTTTCAAAGAATTGAAAAGATGGAGCTGTAAGCTTATAAGAGACAAAGAAAGAATCAAGTGACTTAAAACTATTCACAGTGGCTTAGCCCTAAGATCCAACACAGCTGGGCCATGAAATGTTGGAAACAAAAGCACCTATAATAACATTAGGCCCTTCCATATAAGCAGAATTCTAGAAAAAACTCCCTCTCAGAAAATAGGGATATTGCAAACCTAAACAAAGACTAGTTGGAAAAAGGACTTAAACAACGCTGGATATATAATGCATTGGGAATTTCTCTGGAAAGTTCCCTTTCTGCTGCTCCATTACTGCTATACTCGTTCTCCTTAAAACACTGTATCGTCCAGCCTGCTTGTTGGCATTATTTACATTGTTGAAAGAAGAAGTGAAATCAATTTGACAGTAACCCTGTTTGAAGTAAATTTTCTTCAGTAAAAACATGGTTCCCAGCAAACAGAGAGAACAAATGTAATACACCAAACTTCAGCTGAAAAACCAAAAGTTTACCAAGAAAAGAAAAAATCCTCACAGAGGAACACACTGTTTGGTTTACATCAATAAAACTGAGGATCTAAAAAGTTTCAAAGTATGAAGGTGAAACTAGAAAAAAATGAGTCCTAGAAAAAGATCGTTGTAGTTTCTGGGCAAATAAGTATAATTTCAACTACAATTTTCCTAAAGAAAATTCATTAGAATTTGAAATTGGAGATTGTTTTAAGGAATAATAAAATTCAATTGCTCACACCCGAGAGGTCCATTTAGTGCTGCCATCGGCTAACAATGGAATGGCTTTCAATCAATATGACCAACTTAGTCCATAAGTTGAAAATGTCACATATCATACACTAGTGACTATTATAATGTTGAATATTAATTTATGATTGTGAAAATAGAAAGAATATTTTTATGTGCAACATCTGGCTACTATGTACAATGAAGATTTCTGATAATGAATATAAAAAAGAACTACCTAAACATGCAATTTGTTGATAACTTTGCCAAGTGTGTTCTCTGGGCTCGGCAGCAGGCTCTCCATTTTGATAAGAAGTCGTTCCACAGTGATGGTTTCTCCGCTGTTACCAATGGCAACATGCTCAATGCGAGGACTGCAGAGCTTAACTTCCCTGATGTGTTTGCATTTGTCTCTAAGTTCCTGAACCAAGTCTGCGTCGCAATCATCAATCAACTTGAAATTGATTAATGACACTGCCTCTATGAGTGGGCACATCTTAATAAGATTGGGTACTAATGAACTCTCTGACAAGGCCTCCTTGCGAAGAGGTCCAAACTCCAAAATCCTCAACTTGGAAACAAACTTGAACATCTCAGCTATCACTGAGGGGGGTATCCTAGGGGAGTGACTAACTCCTAAGTACCGTAGGGACGGGGAATGTCGCAGAACGCCCTCCAAACATTCCGCCGACAGTAGAAAGTTCCATCGCAGATCTAAAGTCTCTAAACATTTGTAAGCCAGCGTTGGCCTCACTTCTTGGTAAATTCTCAAATGAAGAATGTGCCGAAATCCACATTGATTCATTTTAAAATAGCGAATATCCGGCAACCTAGAAATCACGTTTGAAAGGCCAGTGGTTGTCACGAAATAGCAACCGGTCAGATCAAGTTCTTTCACCACGGTCTTTTCCCAACTAACTGCCATCAGTGCCTCATCGGTGATCTTTGTAAATCGAATAAGCAGAGTTGAAACAGACTTACAATTATTTAGGACTCGATAAAGGTGTTTTCCTCGATAATTCTTACATTCGTTCAAGCATATCGATTCTAAGTGCGGACAATTCATCGAGACTTTGAGAAGTGCGTCATCAGTCAATGTCTCGCAATCCGTGCAATCAAGAATGCGCAAGTTTCTCATTTTCGCAAAAACATCAGGCACGAGACTCTCAGATGAGTCCATCCCCAATCCAACGTATCTCATTTGAGTAAAATGTCTCGGTAATCTTCTCATAAACTTGAAATTTCCCCACGAGTAGCGTAAATCCATGAGTTCTAAGCCCGTTGGAAAGTCGCGTATACCTTCGTGTCCCGTTTCGCTTTCAACCTCCGCTCCGTAAAAGACCAGACTACGGAGTTGAAGACATCTTTTAGCGAGTTCTTTAGCCACTTTGGCTGTGAGGGTACAACCGCCCAAATTAAGAGCTTTTACCGAGGATAAACGCGTCCTGATCAACATCAACAACGTCTCTTCATCAACCGCAGGCCAAAAATCATTCATGTCAACAACACACCAGAGCGAACGATCGTAGGCAATTCTTCGCCACCGCGGGCAAACTTGAGCCAAAACACCAAGTTCTCTTTTCGTAAAGTACCTGAACACTTCGAGAATTACAGAGTCGGGTATTTGTTTCTCCATTTCCAGGAGACACCGCTACTGACGATTGTATTCTCGCAGCTGGCGTTGTTCACCACGCGCAAGTAAAGCTTGCGTGCTTGCTTCAAGCACAGCCCAGCCAAGCGCTTTCCTCTATCGCGAGCAGCACATTTTCGTGAGAAACTCACGTCATATTCAACCGAAACTCTCGAACTTTTAAAACAAATTTACGCCAAGAGAGTCATTTTCTAAGCGCAAAAGACCTCCACGCTTTGACCATAGAACACGAAACACTGTAAACCTCATATAGAAAAGCTCGGTTCTTTGTTTCGCCGGATGAGAGGCCAATGCCCACTGGCTTCCGGGCTCTGATTGGAGCTGCTACATGACGTCACGCACTAGACACAAAAGAAACCATTTCAGCGCCTTTCAATACAATAAGCGCCTTTGGAGTTCGCGTCACGCGCGCGACATATAACGCGGATTTAGGCAAAAAACGCGTCCCTCTTGAGCGTGGCGTCACTCAAAATTTGTATATTATTTTTGAAATCTATTTAGATTCACGAGATAGATTCACTCGATGAACGATGTCATTTTTTTGTAACTGACTAAACAGCAGTGATACCAGAAGAAGTCAAAGCTCAAAATAATTATTAGCAACAGGAAGCGACCCAACACAAAGCTTATGCTTTTTGCTAAATATTCACTTGAAAACCGACACTTCCACATTTATTTATGAAAACATCTGTTTACCAACACTACAATCATCAAAATTCTCTCCTGTTTAGGGTCTTTGATTCTCCCCAATGATATACTTTTCACTGGCTAAGATTTAAAACCTGTAAAATGTTTCTGTGTTCCTTAGCGATGAATATTTTCAGTATCAGAGTGGTCTATATTGATGTTAACTTGATAATAGTGACCAAGATACATAATTCATGCTCTCCCTCTCTCAAATATTTGCCCAAGCATATCTGTTTCGTTGGCCAACAATGATCACAATTTGCATCACTATTGGCCCTTTATTGCGTCCGTTTGTTATCGTTTAGGAAAAAAATCGGACCCTAAACAGAGTTAACCAGTGCGCGTGAATGTTACGAGCTCCCCAGAGATGCTGACGCGTATTTAGATACATTGTTATGGATCTGACAGGGAGTCTTTTTAAGCAAGATTGTCGTCAATATAGACCAAAGTGAACATCAACCACGATTCCTCTTTGTAAAAAGGCGGTTTCATTCCTACTTTAGAAGTGAATGATGACAAAGCATGTTTCCTCTGTCTAATGAGCATAGATGTCGCAAGAAGTGTTTTTGGTTTGGCCTTTATCCCCCCTCCGCATGACCCCCACGTCCTAAATTAATTAGCAACGCATCACCGCCCGTTCTCGGATTGCAAAATAGTTGCCGAGAAAAATCTATTGACATTTAAACAAGTGAAAAAGTTTCCAGAAAAAGATAGTTATTCGGTCATTTCACAAGATGCTAAATCTATGTTCATTTGCTGCCATTTCTAACGGAGTTAAGATAGCTTTAGAGAGAAATATTACTTTGATCCATCGAGCCTTTCTTGAGCCAATATGCCGGTGAGTGTCATTGCTTTATTTCAGACATAAAGGAGGTATTTATAAAAGTAAATAATGTTTAGTCTGGCGGCTAATTTTCGCCGATTGCTTTGCGTGGGTGACAGGGATGGGCGCTGGGTTGGGCGTAATTTCGAGACTCTCAAGAAATCTTTTAAAATTCCGCGGGAAAGAGCTTACGCTGTCATGACAACAAAGTATCTGAGCCAGCGATGCAAATTGCCAGGCAAGCTATCAAAGATGGCGTCCACTGGGATCCAGATGCAGATGGACCCGCTGTTTTTAGCGATGAGTTTTTACCGTCGAAGGAAATTCGAAGAATGCTCAGAAGTATGTACAGAGTTGCTGAAGAAAAATCCTTATGACCAGGTATTTTTTTTCCGCGGAATTCATATGAAAAATACCTTTTATTTCCGCCACTAAATGAATTTTCTGTCACAACAAAATATAGAAATTATAAAGCCATTGAGCTTAATTTTTTTTTTGGCCTCAATTAGGCTTCCTGGTGTTTAAAGACACGAGCGCTCACGGAGCAAGTCTACGTGGACGAAGTAGATGTTGACGAGGAAGGAATCGCGGAAATGTTGATGGATGATAACGCTGTTGCCCAGTTACCTCGTTAGTATATCATTCACTGCAATTTATTTATGCTTTCTCAGACAGGAATATTCGTACTTTTAACTGGTACCTTATATTTAGTTCTCTTTATAATAAGTGAGTAAGTAAGTAAGTAAGTAAGTAAGTAAATAAGTAAGTAAGTAAGTAAGTAAGTAAGTAAGTAAGTAAAACTTTATTTACACAGGTTAGCCCATTCAGCTCAAGGCTGGTATCCATAGGGGCCCTGTTTCTTAAAAATAAATTACATCAAAATTCTCAATTATTTATATATATGACTAGGATTTTAAAACTACATTAACAGCCTAAGACC